TCATAGCCGTGCTTCTGATGCTGGCGCTGATGCTCTCACTCGCAGTGCCTCTCAGATCGGCGGACGCAATGACGTCTCCAAGTCTCCGTGGTCCCTCCTTCTTCTTGGGTTCCCTGCCCCCCCTTCGTCCGCGCAAGTGCCTCGGGGTATGATTTGCGACCTCCCCTCTCCGCATTGGAACGCCCCCGATCAAAGCGCTGGAAAGCAACCTTCCCCAGAATCTGCCCGCAATGTCGCGCATGGTGTGTAGCGTAGCGTTCCAGGCTTGCCCGGCGTCTCAAAGGCGTGCATTCTGGTCATGATTGAGGCGTCGAGATCTGGCGGTCACGCTCGCTCCTTCTCGTTCAAGGGTTAACGATGTCTGCCGTCCTTCGGCTCGCGCTGGAGCGGCCGCGAGTTGCTCTAATTTCCCATGGAGATTGCCGGATTGACTTGGATTTACTTGGATGTATCTTGCTGGATTTATCTGGCTCGATCTCCACAAGTCGATGGGCGAAAAGTCGACAAGCCCTAAGGGACCTTCTCAAACAAAAAAGCCTTCCCCGGAGTCGCCCCTTTTCCGCGGGCCGCCACCGCAGCCGCCGGGGGCCTCGCCCCCTCCCGTGACCGCAGGGGACCGAACCTGCATCTCCGAGCAGCGGCGGCCCCGCGCAATGAAGAGGCGCGCGGGAAGGGGGGGGGGGTGAAGAGGCGCGCCAGGAGGAGGAGGAGGAGGAGGAGGAGGAGGAGGAGGAGGAGGAGGAGGAGGAGGAGGAGGAGGAGGAGGAGGAGGAGGAGGAGGAGGAGGAGGAGGAGGAGGAGGAGGAGGAGGAGGAGGAGGAGGAGGAGGAGGAGGAGGAGGAGGAGGAGGAGGAGGAGGAGGAGGAGGAGGAGGAGGAGGAGGAGGAGGAGGAGGAGGAGGAGGAGGAGGAGGAGGAGGAGGAGGAGGAGGAGGAGGAGGAGGAGGAGGAGGAGGAGGAGGAGGAGGAGGAGGAGGAGGAGGAGGAGGAGGAGGAGGAGGGAGGTGGAGGGGGAGGAGGAGGGGGAGGAGGATGAGGAGGGGGACGAGGAAACGGTTCGAAAGAAGGTGTACGACTACGAGAACCAGTACTTCGACCAGGTCATTTTACAGAGTACCCTGGTGCCGTTAAGTTTACCAGTGATAAGCTGCACTACGACTGCTCTCCTGTACATCGGACTAGTGCACGGCACGCCTGCGCACGCCCGACGGCACCTACTTCGCGGTGGGCCCAAATAACGACCAGGATAATTCCGACGACTGGCACAAGTACGACCTCATCAAGTTCATGGACATGCTCCACCATATTTTGACGAACGACGAGCACACGCTGAGGGCATCGACTACAAAACCGACGGGGGCTGTCTACTACAATGCCGAGGCCCTCAAGCGCAAGATCGACGCCATCGACAATTGAGACCGCCGAGGGCATGATGGGCAACACCTATACCTCGGGCGCGCTCCTTCCCCTGAGGTACCACCTCCGCCTGGTTGCGGCATGCTACGCGATGCCCCAACCTTGTAGTTGCCGCGCCCGCTGCTAAAAAACCTGACGGGTGGCGCCATACATGCCTTTCCCTCCCCTGGACTTGTACGTTTCCCTGGAACGGTGCGTACGACATCTCCAACTTGAACCGTGCTAGAAAGGGTACGATGGGGCACGACAGACGGATTGTACCATTGAGCTTGCACCGTGCACACCAACATTAGAGATTCAACAGCACGAGATGCACCCACTGCTACCTACCGCATGCCACAAGCCATCCGCCAACTGATCTGGTTTGTTTTATCTTATAGCTTGGTAACATCACCATATAAACATGAACGTTGGCCACCACTACTGCAGCTGCTGGCTCGAGCACCTGGCTACAATCTTTGTGCCCGTCACAGATCGCCAACATGTTCACCATGAGTTACCACGTACCACACGGAGAAACCAGCGGGTAACAACAGCTGCTCGCCGAGGCAGGCATCCGACTACGTGACCTGAGCTGCCAGCGAACATGGATACAGTTGGTAGCCAACATCACGCATGAACCAGACGGAAAGACCTACTCCAAGATTGGCGACATCATATCCGAAGGCGGCATTGCTTCAAACACCTCCTCGGCAAGCGCATCGACTTTTACAAGGCCAGACGCGCGGAGATTATTGGAGAGGTCACGATGGACGACCGTGCGGATGGGCCACACAACGGCCAGGATAGACCACTACCACCTAGGGGCGGATGCCGGATAGGGTCTGGCAGCTACATGCTCGCTGTCTCACACCATACGGACCCGAATACGTGTTTCGTTATGTTTCTCCGCGCAGCGTCCCAGGACCACGCAGTCGCACTCGCATGACAGGACATCAAAGACGAGCTTCGCGATCTGCAACAGCAGACAGAAGAGGGCGCCAACTATTGCAGGACCACGACACGCAAGCGCAACATGCTCAGCGGGCTGGGGTGACTCACGCGAGGCTCGTGGACCAGGATTGGGCCATCTAGACTTCAGCTGGAGTGCGCGCCGCGTACCCGACCTCAATTGCACGGGAATGCGCGGCGCATTGGGCCCGAACATTCAAAACCAAGCCCATCAAATAACATTCGTTGACAGAGTGGCTCCAGGGCGCGCACTCGCGGACTCGACTTCCACTCCCGCCAGACGCGCCAAACCGTCGTTCGCCTGACCCGCCTCAGGAGATACTTTGCGCTCGAGCGGGCCTCGCGCCATGGCGAGGCAAGCGCGGCCCCGCCTGCCCACAGGCGCCAGGCACTGGCGCGAGCGGAAGAAGGACTCGGAGAAGTCGGTGCAGCGGCAACGCGGCACCGCGGCATCCCGTTCAAGGCTTGGCGCGCGCTGGGGCCATTGGGGCTTTCTACTTTGCGCGACGCGGCACAGAGCCTCGAGCAACCTTGGCGCAGCCGAAGAGTTCCAGGCCGCGCACTTGGACGGAACCGATACCCGCGCGCGCCATTTGAACAAGAGCAGTCTCGTCTGCTTGGCCAAGAAGGGCACGGGCGCCGCCCCCAAAGGCATCAATAGCTACACGATGGCCAGCGCCCGCCCGCTGAACGTAGTCGACGCTGACGATTGCACGGCCGCAAGCGCCGCCCGCGACCGATGGGGGGACGCCCTGGCATAATCTCACTGTCTTGTTCGTCACGGTTCAGTCGAAGTCGTCGGCTGCGGGGCCCCTTTCTGAATCCGGCAGGCGACGCGGGCGCCCGCTCTCCCCGCTTGCGCCGCGGTGGCGGAGGTGTTCATGGACCGCGTCGAAGTTGAATGCCCCAGCGCGCTAGTGCGAGCATGCGCCGACGATGCCTGTCTGCCGCCTTTGGCCCACTGGCTGGAAGCGCCGAGGTCGCAGCGTATATTAGAAGCCAATGGCGCGCTCTCAGGGTCGCATGCTAATTCGCACAGCTGCATTGCGATCCCCGTGGGCACTTGTACTTTGGAGCAGGTCAAGGTGGGGCGGGAACAGCTACTCCCAGGATGGTCCAATATGCCGCTAGCCGGACGCGGAACATATGCGGGGTTCTTCGTTGGCCCAGGCAAGGGCGAGCACATCTGGGATGAAACCGGCAGGAAGTGAACCCAGCGGCGCCGAGACTGGGGGGGGCAGGGCATTGGCCTGCAGCGCCACGCGGCGGCGCACAACACTTTCGCAGCATCTACGTTCGGGTGCGTTGGACAACTGGAACAAGCCCCGTCTGGCACTCAGGATTTGGAGGAAGATGCGCCACAGATCGACCGCAACGGGCCTTATGATTGGGCTCTGCTAGAGAACATACATATATATAGTTAGATAGAGAGATAGATAGATAGATAGATAGATAGATAGATAGATAGAGATTCCGAGAGTCTCATGGCCAATTCGCTCCATGCCGGCCCAGTCGCCTGGCGCCCCAGGCATCTCCTCTGCGCGCGCGCGCGAGGTCCGGCTTGTAGCGCGCCAGCGCGCGCGGGATGCGCGGGGTCTCAGAGGGGCGCCCCCGCGACTCCTGCAGCTGTCCAATCGGGCTCGCTGGGGCGATGGGCATTCCAGAGCCTTCGCGTTCACCCTGCAGCGCGCATGGCAACCGTGGGAATTCCAGGCCGGGTCCGCGCGGGGCCATTGCAAACCACTGACCAGCCCGACGACGCAGGCGACGGCGACGCGGCCACTGCTTTCCCCACTGGCGCAGGCGCTAGCCGCTCGGCTCGGACGGGCAATTGGCCGCGCCCAGGCAACGCCCAAGACTCGCCCCGAGACCGACATCGAGACGACCCGCTTATCACTTCTTGCTCGCGCGCAACGCGCCTCGCCCTACCTTCCGCGCCCGGGCCGAGTTCCGCCTTCGGGAGCTATTGGACCGCGCGAAACATCCACCTCCGGCAGGGGCCAGCTTTCGACAGCGCGCCCCCCTGGCTGGCGCGCCGGGCGGCGGCCAACATCCAACTGTTGCTGATTTGGGCGCCCGAAATGGGCGCGGAAAGAATGTGTACAATGCCCGACAGCAAATGTTGTCCCAAACCAACAGCGGCCGCTGTTGGGCAGGCGGCCCTTTGTTTCAAATTGACACAGGCCGCGGCGGCGCGGACAGCGAGTCCTGTTCAAAATGAACAGGAACTGCTGTTGGGCATTGTGCCCATTCTTTCCGCGCCCATGTCGGCCCCCCCCGGTCAGAAGTTCGCCCCCCTGCGGGTGCGCGCCGCAGTTTTGTCGCGATCGCCTGGAGTTTCGCTCGCGCTGCCTTCCTCGAAGGTCGTCTGGCGGCCTCTGTCGATAGCGCGCACCTTGATGCATGATCAGATCAGTATCAGTCGGCTCTTCTCTGCGACCGAGACATCTGTTTGGATTCAGCCCGGAGTCAAACTAGCGCATGGCACGCTTGGCTTCTCAGGGCGGGAATTCGGGCAGTTACACATGGAATATCGACATCGTACTGCTTGGGATAAGGCGCAGAGGGATGAGGAGATAGGAGGAAGGAGCACACGAATGAGAACATGAGGTATGGGAATCAGCTGTTGGGACCATGCGTCATCGATGGCACACGCGCCGCGCATTTCAGAAGCGCCACTCGCAGTCCAACTGGCGCGTCTCGGGGTGTGGAGGTGCAGCAAAGTATTCGATCGAGCACTGTAATCAGCGCCCGTTCACGAAAGAGGCATTGTCGCGCAAACTCAACCTATCCCCGCGCTTGTACGCCAATGTTCACAGCTTCTTGTTTTGCACCGCGTACGCCCAGACGCAAGATGAACTTGTTTCGCTTCCACTGCTGACTTTCGGGATCTACAACGCCGTCAACCACTTCCGGCACAAACCCCCAGCGAGGGGCACAGACACGGGGGAGGCCACCTCGCAACGGTTCTGGGAAGACGCAGAAAAAACATCGTAACGGAACGCGCGTTTTCAACGACAGGTGGAATCGTCGGCGGCGAGACAAGTCAATGCCTCCCATACCCTTCCGGTTGTGAAGGCTTGCGTGTTCGTGATCATGGGGGGCATCGTCGCCGACGGCAGTGACTGCAGGGACGTCGGCTCCCGCTCGCGCGCGCCCAGCTCGTCCGACGCCGTCCAGCTCGCCGAATCCAAATCCAACAGGTCCTCCCAGGTCGCCGATCAGGAACAGCCTCAACCACCACGAACAGCCACCACGACCAGAAGCAGCCACAATGACCACGAACAGCCACCACGACCAGATACAGCCACAACGACCACGAGCAGTCACCACGATCAGATACGTCCACCACGACCACGACCAGAAACATCCACCGCGACCAGAAGCAGCCATCGCGACATCATGTTGCTCATCGTGGTCCTGCCCAAAAACGTGTCTTCCGTTGCCATCTATGGAATTGGCGGGCGAGACTGCCGGGTGGCTTGGGACGGTCAGGGGACCCTGGGGGTCAGGATTTGTCCTCCCACGCTGGATGGTGCACGCAGCTCGAGCGCCCCAGCTTGTGCCGGCGCTTTGTGTATTAGTTTTGGACTTGAAATGGTGTTCGAGATCTGGCGGTCGGGGTGGACGCCGGCGTTTCGGGCCTACCTCGTCGTTGTGCCAGTTTTGGGGGATGCCAACCAGTTTATATATTTTTCGAAGGCTGGGACGTGTGACGGAATACCCTTTTTTGCGTGGGTAGCGGCGCTATATTAGGAATTCCCGTGTACTTCATGGGGGCAAGCGATTGAAAAAAAACGCCCCCCCGCCCCTCCCAGGGGGCCGACAAATGAATAGGTGGGGCAAACAAAAACAATTCAGCTGCCGGAGATTGATTTTTCAATCGTCTGCCCCCCCAGCATTATTCTGCCGTCGGGCGGGCGCGGATTTTCGATCCGTCAGCCAGCGGAGTCCCTCCTAGACGGCCAGAGTTTGTCCGCCCTCCGCCGGTCAGGCTGATTCGGCCTGTCCGTCTCGGAAGTGTCTCTGCCCGCCTCGAATTGTGACTCGGAGGTTCTGCTTTCCGCGCAGGGCCGGCCGCGGGCAGCCCCGCGGCCTCGCATTGTCCGCCCCCGCGGCTTCGCATTGTCAGCCCGCGGGGCCCCTCCCGGACAGTCAGAGCTTGTCCGCCCTCCGTCGGTCAGGTTGCTTTTTGGCCTGCCCAGCTCGGAATTGCCCCCCCGCCCGCCCTGAATTGTCAACCCGTGCCCCGCTTCCCCCTGGCCTCGAGACAATTGGGATTGTCCGCCGTCCGCCTGCCCCGCCGCCCCCGCTACTGCTGGGGCACGAAGACCAGGGAAACTGTTGTTTTAATCGTCTGCCCCGGATTTTTTCGATCGCTTGCTCCCATCTGAGTTTCGGCGATCTTGGTTCACCAACTCCCGCGCAGACCAGCTCGCCGACACCCGCGCCAAGCAGTTTTCCGACTCCCACGCCGACTGGCCCACCGATTCCCGCGCAGACCACTTCGCCGACACCCGCGCCGACCAGCGCACCGACTCCCGCCCCGACTGGTTCACCGAGTCGTGCACCGATCAGCGCGCCGATCCCCGCGCCGACCAGTTCGCTGACTCCCGCACCGAACAGCTCTCCGTTTCCTGGACCGACCAGTTTGGCAGCCCCCGATACCGACCAGCTCACCGGCTCTGCGCCGACCAGTTTCGCCGTCTCCCGCGCCGGCCAGTTCACCGACTTCCGCACCAGACAGCTCGCCGACTGCCGCGCCGACCAGCTCGCCGACTCCCACGCCGACCACTCGCCGACTCCCACGCCGACCAGCACTCCGACTCCATCATTGACCATCTCGCCGACTCCCGCGCCGACAAGCACTCCGACTCCACAGCCGAGTGGCTCACCGATTCCCGCGCCGACCGCCGACCAGCTCATCGACTGCCGCACCGACCAGCTCACCGACTCTCGCGCCGAACAGCTCGCCGACTACAGCGACCCGACCATCTCGCCGACCCCCGCGCCGACCAGCTCGCCGACTCCCGAGCCGAGTGGCTCGCCGACGTCCGCGCCGACCAGCTCGATGACTTCCGAGCCGACCAGTTGGGCCGCTCCCGCAGCGACCAGCTCACCGACTCCCGCACCGACCAGTTCGCCGACACCCGCGCCGACCATCTCACCGACTACCAGCTCGGCCAGCTCACCGGCTCCCGCACCGACCAATTTGACGACTCCCGCGCCGACCAACTCGCCGACTCCCGGGCCGACGGCGGTCTTTTGGCCCAGCAGCCGTTCGTGCGTCTCCGACTCCTGCTCCCCACCCAGGTGGTGGAGGTGCCGCTGCAGTCCGGAACTTTACGGGACACTTTATTGCAAGTCGGAACGAGATAATTTGACATAGGTGGAAACAGGACGTACCATTTTTGCTGAGTGCTTTGGTTCGGCCAGGGCCCTTCCGCCGTGCGATAATTAGCTGATGGGCCGGCACGCCGAAAATCGCAGAGTGGCCGGTAGAGCGCAGCCAGGACGAGCACGACGATCGGGACCAGCAATGCCGCGCGCAGGAGTACCAGTGCCACCAGCAGCGCCATTGTGATCACCATGAGTCGGACCAGCAGCGCCGCGCGCAGCAAAATCGATACAAGCCGCTCCACTGGACGCGTGCACCGACGCCAGCCCCGACGCCGGCTACAAAGCCAGCGCCAGCGCCAGCACTGACGCCAGCAACGCCTGCGCCTACGCCAGCACCATCCCCAGCGCCACCGATGCCAGCTCCCCGAGAAGACCGCAGCCGTGGGTCGCAGCAGCAGTTTCAGCTCCTCCTCTCCTCCAGGCGAAATTGTCAAAAATCGTTGCTCGCAGTTTCCCGGTCCACAGGCCCTGATGCTCTGCAGGGGGGCAGCGGGCCAGGCAGGGCATCGTTCCACCCCGGCGAGGTGGCACAGCTGAGCGTGCCGCGTCGTGCCGGTGCCCGTGCACGCGTTGCTCAGGGTTTCTCTCGGCGGGGCGACGCCATCGCACTCGGCCGCCTGAGCGCTCGCACGCACCGTGGACGAGGAGGAGGAGGAGGAGGAGGAGGAGGAGGAGGAGGAGGCGACTGGCCCCTGGCCCAAGGTGCCCCCAGCTTTTCGCTCCGTTTTGGAGCCCCTGGCGTCCCCTGGGCCTCGTGAGGGGTGCCCTAGAGGCTGCCTGGGCCACCCCGAGAATCCTAGGGGTACCTTGGGCCAGGGGTACTTCTGGCAACATGGACGAGGAGGAGGAGGAGGAGGAGGAGGAGGAGGAGGAGGAGGAGGCGACTGTGCACCTGCACCGCTCTCCTGGCGAGGGCGATCCGGGGCCCGGGATCGGTTGCGCACGCCCTCGCCGACCCAGGGCCGGGAGGGCGCACCGATGTCCGGGATGGGCCTGGCCTGGATCAGCCTAATTAAGGGCACAGCTCCGTACGACACATAGAAAGGTATTTTGTCATGGCGCTCGCCTGGCATCTTCCATCTCGTGATGCTCATGAGTAGGATTCACTTGGCCATCATTAAACTGTATGCGCTTGTCCTCTTCTCTGTGCCGTCCTGCAGGAGGGGAAAACACACAGACACCATTCATCGTCGATCCCTGAGAAAATATAGGAAACCATGGGAAGTGTGGTGGGGGGGGGAGAGGGAACCCCAGACAATGCGGGAACAAAACATGGGGGCTACTGGGATCTGCACCTTTTTCTTGCGAGCCCCAGGGCCCCTTCACATCCGACGAAGGCATCTATACACCACCACCGTGCCAGGCCGGGGCCATCCTGGGACCCAGGATGGTGTATGGACCCTCCTGACCTCGGCCAGGATGGCGTACACACCATGCCAGGGCCAGGATGGCTCGGGCCTGGCACGGTGGCGGTGTGTAGATGCCTTCTGCGCATCACAGCTTCTTGCTTCTCCCCGACGCGCCCGACGCCTCCCCGAGGCCCGCCGCACTGGCCGCCGCGCTGGCGCTCGCCCCCGCGGCGCGGGCCGCCGGCGCCGCGCGGCGCGGCGGCCGCCGGCAGGCGGCCGCGGCCCGATCCCCCCGCGGCCGCCCGCCGCGGCCTGCTCCGAGCGCCGCCGCTCACAGAGCAGGCCGCGCGCAGGCCCGGACCCAGAGGTCCAACGCACTGGAAAATCTAGAGGTTTTCCTTATTTTCGGCCTCCAGGGGCCGTCGCCAGGCCGCGGGACCGTCAAAAGACGGGCGGTGTTTCCCCATTGTCGGCCTCCAGGGTCCCTCGCCGGGCCGCGGGACCGTCCAAAGACGACTCAGGGTGAAAAACCGGTCCGGAGGAATGGGTCGAGGCTTCCGGGGACCCAGAGATCCAACGCACTGAGAAAGTCAAGACGGCGTTTTTTCCCCCTTTTCTCAGAGCGTGAGTGACCTGCCCCGCTTTCGCTTCCAGGCAAAAGCAAGTCATGCCACGCGCCGCCTCGTCAAGCGGCCTGACCAGTAACCAGGCCGTAGTCTGGCATCGCGTGGTATCTCTTGGAAACGAGGGTGGTCAAAAGCGAGGTGGTCAAAAGCGAGTTAGGTTTGTTTGCCCCCTATTTTCGGCCTCCAGGGGCCCTCGCCGGGCCGCGGGACCGTCAACGAACGACTGAGGGTGAAAAACCGGTCCTGAGGAATGGGTCGAGGCTTCCGGGGACCCCGCATTGAACAAATCACGACGTCGGATCTCTGAGGACCTCCTCGCGGTGTGAAAGAATCGCGGCGGGAGGTTTTTCGCAACGTTTGCGGCCTCCGGGGGGGAGCCTTCCCGGGCCTCGCGAAGCCGTCAAGAGGCGACATGGGACGAAGAAGCGGTCCCGGGGGAGAGGTTCCAGACCTTTGGGCGTCGAGGTCGCGACCAAACATCACGACGTCGGGGGTCTGGAGAGGGGGGGCCAGCCCCCAGCGGGCGGGCAAGGATTCGCCGGGGAGCCTCGCCGGAGGCACAGATCCTCGCCGCCCCGTGGGTGTAGAGACGTATGTGGCTCTCCGCGGGGCCGTGCGCCTCCGTCGCCGCCCCCGGCAGGAGTTCTGCCCGCTCGCGGCCTTCCTCCCATGGCTGGTCAGCCACGCGCAGAGGGGGGGTGGCCTGCAGGGGGCAGGGCTTCGTATAGAAGCACCCCTGCTTCTCAGGAGGCGCGGGCCTCACCAGTATTGCTATAGATGTTGGGCTGGCGCCTTCTGAGGAGCAGCCTCCTTCTAAGAAGCCCTCCCCACTCCCTCCACCCCTTTGCTCAGCGAGCGAAGAGCGGTATGAAGTAAACTTTTTCGCTGTCGGGGGCGCCTGTCCCTGGGCGGCTGGAAAGTTTATACCCCTACGGTGCCATTGTAAGGGTATAAACTTTCCAGCCGCCCAGGGACAGTCGCCCCCGACAGCGAAAAAGTTTATGTTATACCGTTCTTCGCCCGTTAATTTGTGCGCGCCGCCAACAGATCTGGGCGCTGCAGAAAATCAACGCGACGGCCAGTTATTCAGGTAGGTTCGCCTCGTGTCGACCGCCGGCGACCCCGCCGCCGGTGTTCAATCAACGTTGACCGCCGCTGGCGACCCAGAATCGATCGATGTTGAATGATCTGACGTTTCGGAACCGGCCGATCGTTCAAGGTTCAGCGATTGTCGCGGTGTCGGGGACCAACGCCAAGGTCGACGCGACGCGAAGTCGTGAGTGAGGCGCGAGGAAGTCTCGAGCGGGTGCCCCTCCCATATGGGGCCCGGGGGTCATGTGAATTAGTAATCCGAGGCGGCTATCGGAAAACCGATAGTCGTAATCGTTTCTGGGTTTCTGAGGCTTGAATCTTGAGGAAGTCTCGAGCGGGAGCCTCGCCTGTGAGTGAAACACGATGACGTCTCGAACGGGAGCCGCCTCCCTATGGGGACCACACGCTGTCTCAGTGATCCGAGCCGGCCATCGGAATCCCAACGGCTTGGCGATCTGGCCATCGAAGAATGCGCCACTGCCGGTCGAAGCGGCGACGGCGCCAAGAAATATCGACGCGCGCGCCCCTGCAAAAAGGGCGGGGGAGGAGGTGGATATGGGAGAAGAGGCAGGAAGACGAGGTGGAGGAGGAGGAGGAGGAGGAGGAGGAGGAGGAGGAGGAGGGGGAGGAGGAGAAGGAGGAGGAGGAGGAGCAAGGGGCTCGAGAAGGGCCTCGGCCAGGGCGAACCAGAGAAGGGTGATGAAAAGACCAGGAGAGCGAGGGCGACGATGATGATTTCTTTCGTCGCATACGTTTGCGATCGAAGCCCCAGGATATGACATGCAGTGCTCCCCCGGGGCGATCCGCCCATGCTGCAGCCGCCGAGGGATGGGGGAGGCGAGGATGGGGAAGGGTGGCGGGAGGCGACGTCTTCCCGATCAGCGCTGGCGTGGGAGTGCGAGCACCCATTGTGCGGGAGATGGGGGCAGACGGAGGGGTAGCGGGAGCCAGAACCCGCGTTCCGCCTTCGAGGATGACAGGAGTTGCCATCTCTTCCGCCGCGGAAGGGCGGCGGAAGGTCGGCGGAAGTAGAACGAGGCCGCCTCCGCCGGCGGAAGCCAGCGGAAGCTCGGCGGAAGGCGGGGGAAAGGAACGCGGTGCCCCCGAGATCTGGAAAACGCTTTTGGGTTCAGGGCTTCCGAAGTCGCCCAGAGATCGAGTCGTCAGCGCAGCGCCAGCAGCGGTCCGACGAAGGCGAGACAGCGTACGGCCGGGTGCCACCGAGACCGAGAGGTTCAGCGCCCCTCTAACGGGGACTCCACTAAGAGGGGTACTTTTGAAGATTGCCGAAAGTTGCCCCTTTATAGGGCCTCTTTGTGGCACTGCAGCATTGCCCACATCGGGGAGGGTTAGGTTCGCAGGGTCACTGGCCAAAGTACCCGTGAGTGGAGTCCCCGTTAGAGGGGCGCTGAGAGGTGGGGCGGTCGAGCGAGGAAAGCCGGCAGGGCCTGGCGCGAGGGGGTCGCCCCGCGAGGCGGCGGAGTGCAGGGCGGGGGGCACGGGGCGGCAGGTGGCCGGCTCTGCCCTGCGCAGGCCGGATCGCCGGGCTGGAGCGAACACTGGGCCAGGAGCAGTCGTCGAAGAGGGAGGAATGCCACAGACATCAGCTTTTGATCGCTCCGCGCGGACCTCTTGGATCCGCGCGCGCGCGGAGCGCCAGGGGCGGCGCCAGAGGCGCCGCTGGGGGGGCCCCAGCGCAGATCCAAGAAATCCGCGCTGAGCGCCCACAACAGTTTATGTTAATGGCGTACTTGTTTTCTTCTTCTTCTTCTCCTTCTTCTAGGGTATTCGAGGCCGCTCGGTGTTTGTTTCATCGGGGTTCGACCTTCGCCACATCCGCGTGCCGCTTGAGCTCCATGACGTTCCGTCGCCCGTGTGATGTGAGTTGTAGGTTGGTCGCGGTTCTGCGTTTCTGACGTCTGTTGTGCGCACTGGTAATTTGGGCGTGGAGGGGGACGAGGTGGAGGAGGAAAAGGAAACGACGGATGATGATGATGATGATGATGATGATGATGATGATGATGATGATGATGATGATGATGATGATGATGATGATGATGATGATGATGCTGATGCTGATGATGATGATGATGATGATGATGATGATGATGATGATGATGATGGTGGTGGTGCTGGTGCTGGTGCTGGTGCTGATCATGATCATCATGATCATGATCATGATCATGATTGATGCATGATGATGATGATGCTGATGATGATGAGATGATGATGATGATGATGATGATGATGCTGATGATGATGATGATGATGATGATGATGATGATGATGATGATGATATGATGATGATGATGATGATGATGATGATGATGATGATGATGATGATGATGATGATGATGATGATGATGATGATGATGATGATGATGATGATGATGATGATGATGATGATGATGATGATGATGATGATGATGATGATGATGATGATGATGATGATGATGATGATGATGATGATGATGATGATGATGATGATGATCCACGCATCCAAGAAGGTCTGGAGCTCCCCGCTCGATACAGCCTCCCGAGGCCATGGCCTTTCCCTCTGGCGCTGCGGACGCAAGGCCTGACCCGTGCCCAAGGCACACTCGCAGACTCGCCTGAAAGCCTTGAGGCCGCCGACCGCCCCAGCCAAAGGCAGGCGATCAGCAAAGCATCTGAGCCCTCACGGCGACTCAGCTCGCAGACAGCTCAGCGCGCCACATCAGAGCAACAGTCCCCTGGGCACCAGGCCACAGACGGGGACGACTTGCTCTGAGGTGACCTTCGGAGGCGATCCTGACGGTCGGCCATAGCCTACCACCACGGTTCGGCCTCCGCCTGGCGCGCACAGAGCACAGAGCGGGCTGGAGCGCAGCAAGCTGCGCGGGCTGTCGCGCCCAAGGCGCGCCAGCAGCTACATTAAACGGAGGCGCCGAAGGCGCCAAGCGACATGCGTTGCCCAAGAGGGCGGGAGGGAGTGAACCCTGGCGTGTGCCGAGCCCCACGGGGTACAGCCTACGCCGCGGGGTCCCTCCCCCCCCAGAAGCAGCGGCTCGGCGCAGGCATTCGTGATCCTTGGACCCGCCTGCGACCCGAGCTGATCAGCATGCTGGCTCGATCGGAGGCAACCATGGCGGTGTGCGAACCTGCCACCACGGTCCAGCCTCCGACTGGCTGCACAAGCAGAGCATGCTGGAGCGCAAGAAGCGCTGGCCGTCGCGGCAAGCGCGCCAGCCACTACATAAAACGGAGCGCTCCAATGCGTGGACACCTACGCACCTGGTCCAACTTCCGCTCGGGCGAGAGCCGTGCAACGGCACGGGCCAGCTCAAGAGCGGGACACGAGCGCCAAGCAAAGCTGCCGAGCGGCGCGGAATGCGCCTCGCAGCAGCGACTCCCCCCGCAAGGCAACACCCTCGCGCGACCAGAGGCACCAAAGTAGGGTTTGGTTGCCTTGCGGAGGCAGCCCGAACAGCCGTGTGCAAACCACACGTCTGTTCGCGTGATGGCAGACAGAGCGAGGCGGCAAGCGTGGCAAGAAAGAGCCTAGCCACCATCGGCGCGCCTGCGCATGCGCCGCAGCGGCTCAGGGTCGCCGATGCCGCCCGCCCCAGCGGGCTGCAGGCCGCGCTTCAGCCTGCTGAGCACCGCCTTCTGCCTATCGTTCTTGGGGGCCTTCGTGCACTCCGCTGCCAAGCCCGCCATCCTGCGGCTCTGCGTCCAGTAGCCGCACTTCACGCAGAAGGTGGCTACCAGCCCTCCACAGGTCGTGGGAGCCGTGGGCGTCCAATCCCCACCAAGGCGGGAGCTGCGGCGGCGGCAGCGGCGGGGTCCCGCCACCGGCCCCAGAAGGACCCCCCGACGTCGGTGGGCTACCCCGCTGGCCGCCGCCAGGCGCGCCGCTGCCAACTCGCCCTGCACTCGCCTCGTCTCCCTCCACCTGTGCTGGTGCCTCGCTGGCCTGACTGTGAGACAGCAGCGCCGCGCCCGCCGTGATGAGCGCCGCGGCTGCAGCGACCGATCCGCCACTGCTCTCGGCCCCTGAGGCCCAGGAGCCCGCGAGCGCGTCGCCCCTGCCCGCGCACCGCTGGCAGGCCCAGACCGTGTCGCCGTCGACGTCCAGCCACGTCCCGTGCCGCCCGCACGTGCGCTGCGGGCAGTCGGGGAAACTGCAGTGAGCCCGCCATCGCATCTTGCAGCCGCGCCAATCGCACCGAACTGCTCCCAGGCCTGGGCCCTCGTGCCCGTCCGCTGCCGTGAGCTCGGCGTCGCCTTCCTGCATCGCCGAACCCAGCCAGCAGAAGACCTTCTTGACGAGGCGATCCTGCCTGCGGCTCCTATCTCGCACGTCGTCGTCGCTGGGATGCATCTGCGCGCCCTGCACGGCGCGGGCACCGGCGCTGTGATTGCCCCGCCGCTGCCAGGCCGTGACGCGCTCCGCCTGCACGTCCGCCAGCGTGGCGTGAGCCTTCACCTTGTGGATGGTGACGCTGCCGACCCCTACGTCGTCGAGGGCCGCCCAGAACCGCACCCAAAGCTCGCGGTAAGGCCGCTGCCACTGCAGGCACCACGCCCTGCCCGCCGCGAAGCCGTCCACGAGCAGCTTGCAGTCAGTGAAGATCCGCACAGGTGGTAGGCAGCTCTGGATGCCCTCGATGGCCGCCACCAGCTCCGCTGCCCCTGATTCTTGGGGATACGGCCAGGGGAGCGGGCCGAAGAGGCTGACTGCCTCGCTGTCGGATCCCATGACGACGACCGCCCAGCCGCCGCGCGCCGAGACGAGGCTGGGGTCCAGAACGCTCCCGTCCGTGAAGAGGTCGCCCGAGAGCGGCTGCCCCACCAAGTCGGCATGACCCTCCTTCCGCGCCTCCCTGGCGTCGGTGGGCGGTGGCAGGGTCCTTCGGTGCTCGGGTGCAAGAGCGCGGGACCAGAGCGGGTCCTCGTCTCCCTCGATGCTGGCCATACCGACGATGGTGCGAAAGGGGATGTCGCCAGGGGGGCACCGCTCGCCCGCCTCCTCGTTGGAGATCCACTCGCCGCGGCTGACCTCGGTGGCTGGGCACTGCCACGCCAGGTGCCGCACTGTGCCGTGCGCAGGGCATCCCCTGGGGCACCAAGGAGAGGAGGCCAATGGGCGTTCCTCAAAGAACCGCCGCGCCACGGGCCAGAGACATCCGACCAGCGCGTTCTTGGCCGAGCTCATCTGCTTGGCCTTCTGCTTGCTCATGCGCTTGCGTGCCAATGTGCGGCTGATGCTGGACAGGGCGCCTCCATCGCGCAGGTGCTCCAGTCCTGGGTGCTTGCTCACTGCCCGCCACAGCGCCCTCTCGTGGCCATCGGCGATGTGCTTGGCGAGCGTGGAGGCCCCCAGGGTCCGTAGGTCCAGCGGCTGCTGCTTGTCGTTGGTGAGCAGCCCTGGCAGTGTGGCGGTCCAGCCCAGGCGGTGGCAGGCTAACACGCACGCAGCAGCTGGCCCGCGTCCAGCCAACGCCTCAGGCCCGCCTCTGGCCAGCAGCGTCCTAGCCCCTGCGAAAGCGCTGCCCAGGGCCCTCAGGTCCCTGCTGTCCGAGTTGAACTGCACCGCCTTGGCCCGTGCGATAATGGGCAGCGCCACGTGGTCGTACAGCGGGTCGCAGTGCAGACGCTTGCTGAGGAGGAAACTGAGGCTGAGGCTCTTGCCTGGGCCGTGCCCATGGTGGACGGCGTTGACCTGGCTCCTCCACTTGTTGAGCTGCGACGTCGGCCAACCCACTACACTCAGCCCATAGCGAGTAGCAGGCCGCAGACCAGCGTTCGCCACTCGAGCTGCTGCTGGGGTCTCCTGCGAGCGGATGGCGTGCAACCTCTGCAACTGGGATGCCGCCTTCGTATGCCGCTTCTCGAGGACCACGAACGCTTGGCCGTCGAGGCAGTAGTCGACCCCCAGGTTCTTGACCGAGTCGGCGATGGAAAAGGCGATGCCTCCCATTAGCTTGGCGACCAGTGATGCCAGCTCTGGCGAGCTGGCCAGCAGCTCGCTCTTTGCTGCTGAGACCTTGCAGCCTAGGGCCTCCAGCTGTGAGATGACCGCCTTCGTCGCCTGGGCCACATAGGCTGCGACCTGTGCCATCGGTCCGTGGCACCCGACGCAGCAGTCGTCAAACATGATGGCGAGGGTGACTCTGGGCTCGAGCGCCCGCCACAGCCGCGCATGCTCGTCCGCGAGCACCAACAGGCCGCACTTGAGGAGCCGACCCGCATGCGAGCACCCCGCGATGAGTCCCGCATCCAGCAGGTAGGCCTCGGATACGCTACCGTCAAGCATGAAGCGGCGCTCCCCCGCGTACAGGGTGAGGGCCATACCCAGCAGGCCCCGAGGGTAGCCAGCCAGGACGCCTCGGCCCTGGATGATGGCCAGGTCCACGAGCTCGTAGGCCTTCCATAGGTCGATGAGTGCCGCTGCTGCTCCTTCTCCACGTGCGTGTGCGGCTTCTGCGCGCAGGGCCTGCCACCAGACTGCCTCTTCGGCCGCACGGCCGCGCCCCCCCCAGAAGGCGCCTGCGACGCCAGGGTCAATCTGCGAGTCCCAGCGCCGCGCCACGGGCTGACGGACTCGGCTCCAAAGGCGCGGGAGCCAGCCCAGCAGCCCAATGGGCCGAAACCCGCCCTGGGGCTTCGGAAGCATGACCACGAGCGAGTCCGTAATGACGTCGGGCCAGCCGCCGATCTCCTCACACTTCATCCCGAAGTCAACGACTGCCTCCAGAAGCTCGTCGCTGAGGTCCGCGGCCTTCCGCGGGTTGAGGCGGTCGCTGCCGACGCCAGTGCCGTGCCTGAAGGTCCTGGCGGCCGCGCGCAGCTCATCGGCTGAGGGCCTGGGGAGGGCCTCGCCGCCAGAGCGCGGGAGCTGCGGCCGAAACCTATCGCGGTCTCGCCTGACCCGCCAGACCTCTGTTGACCATTGCTTCGCCACAAGCTTCACTCGGTCTGGGGCGTGGGCTGGGGCCCCGTTGTACTCGTCGTCAGGGGCCCATGCCCTGGGCCCGCGCCGATAGGCGTGGAGCCCGCCTGCGCCTTCAGCCATGGAGCGACGGATCCACTCCTTGAAGCCCTGGCCACGAATGACGGCGAAGGCTGCTCCATCGGCCTCCGCCTCGGCCCTGGCCTCAGCGGCCCAGTCGGCCAAGGGGAGCAGGCTGGGGCACTCGGCGGCCAGGGCCACGCGTGCTGCCCACTGGGCTCCGAGGGGAAGGCCCACCGTGGACGGGGGCTTGGGCGCCCTGCTGCTCGCTTGCGCTGCTCCGTCGCCGCTGCTGCTGACGTCGCCGTCGGAGCTGCAGTCGCTGCCCCCGCGCCTGCCGCCGTGGTACCGCATGAACTGCTTGACGCCCTGCAGGTAGCAGTAGTGCTCGTCGTCAGCGATGGCCCAGGCGTCGGGGTCGCTGTCCTCCAACTCGCGGACCTTGCGCGCGTACTTGTTGCGCACGCCCTCGGAGGCCTGCCAACTGTCCTCGCACATGTCGACTGCCCGAGCCCAGCGGGCTGCCGCTCGCTCGCCAAACGGCCGAGCCGAGCTGGCGCGAGGGGGCGGGGGTGGGATCGCGCTGATACTCTCCGCTGATGCGGCCCCCCTTCCCGCCCCCGACGCCGACGCATCGCTGACGCCTTCTCCAGTGGCCCTCGCACTGCTGGCCTCCGCTGCCGCTGCGAGGCTCGCAAAGGAGTTAACTTGGGGCTGGGGTGGGATCGCGCTGTCCCCGTCCGCAGATGCGGCTCCCAACCCCGCCCCGTCAGACTGGCCCTCTGTGACGCCGACCTGCTCACCCTCGTCGCCATTGCCACCCTCGTACTGGCTGAGGCGCTCGTAGGCGTAGTGCGTGCAGAGGTCCATCCACTCTGCCTTGTCCTGCTGCGCGTCGGGGGCGTGCAGGCGCGGCAGCCAGCCGTTGGCCAGTCGCGCCAGTGTGCGCCTGACGCCTGCCTCACCCACCTCGATGGCACTCCACCCCCCCCGCGTCCACTGGGCAGGTGGCTATCCTGCAAAGCACTGGAGGTGGGGGAGCGACGTCGCCTATGCCATTCTCCGTCTCGGTATAGCCGTGGACGATGGGCGCGCCTGGGAGGGGCCTGCTGTAGTCACCCCGCTCTTCCAGCCAGCGCCTGGACTCGTGGTAGCTGTCCACCGCCCTGCGCAGCTCCTCCTCCCAGCAGTCGTGGTCGAGAAGGCCGAGCTGCTGAAGAATGCGCACCAGCTCCTGCCTGCCTGCGCCGCCGCGACGCCAGGCAGACTCGCATACTTCCCTGGCCGTCTGCAGGCGACGCCCAAAGTTCTGGGCCAGGCCCGTCGCAATGTGCGTCGGCAGCCCTAGCATGCGAAAGATGTAGGGCACGCAATTTTCCAACCACTCGTTCTCGTCCGCGTAGTGGTCGGGGTTGCTGGGGTTGGAGACCCACCCGCGGGCACGGCGCCCGAGCACCCGCTTGTAGCGCTTGATTGCCCTGGCCTCCATCCGCTCCGCCGCCCGCTCGTCGTTGTCCAGTTGGCACTGGGCGAGCCCTGCCGAAGAAACGGCATCCGAGCCTCCGCCGACGAGCTGATGGATCTGCGTGAAATAGTCGCTCAGATGCATGAGCTTCTTGCCCTTGTAGCTGGCCTTGGGCCCCTTGATGGGGCGCGCCCTGGCCTGCGTGCCGAAGCTGAAGCTCGGCGGGCCCCCGCGGCCACGATACAAACTGGCGTCATCGGGCGGGATCTGGTAGATCCAGACGAGCTCGTTCTCCACTCCCTCGCATAGGGCGCGGTAGACCTCCGTCATGGCCTGCATGTCCCCCCCCACTCCGATAGCGTCCCGCAACTCGTCGTGGTTCCACTCCTTGGCTTGCATAGGCCCATATGGCCTGTCCTTGGGAAAGGCTGCGGGGCCCTTGACGCGGAATGACTGGCCAAGGTCGCCCTGACAAGCCAAGTAGAGCTTGACCCCGATGTGGGGCCTGCACGGGTTGGCGTAGCCCTGCTCCGTCATATTGAGGCGCTCGCACCCGCTGACGAGGTCCAGCATATCTGCACTGACGATGAACCAATCGAGCTCAGATGGCTCCTTGACGGGGGGGCGCTGGCAGGTGCCCGTGCCGGAGTCGACGACGTGGCCGCCCAGCTTGCGCAGCCAGTGCCCCGCGCGGAGGTGGAACCTGTCAGGCTCGACGTTCCAGTCCCCCGCCAGGACCCAGGGCTTGCCCGTGCACTTCAGCGTGGCTCCAACCTGCTGCAAGACGCCCTGGCTGCGCTCGCCCACGTCGTCGCTGTCCAGGTAGACCGAGCCCAGCAGGAAGCCTCCAGGCACGACGCCATTGATGTGCACGATGGTCGCGCGGCCCTCGGCCGCGTGGCAGCTGTCCTTGCTGCCGCCCGCGCCTGGCCCGCACATGCCACGCGAGGTGCGCACGGCCACGCCAGTGCCGCTGCTGACGGCGCGCTGGAGGCTTGCGCCGACCGAGCTCACCCCTGGGGTCAGCACGGCGCTCCAGCCAACCTGACGACACCACTGCTCCTGCTCCACGGCGCGGTAGCCGTTGAGGTGGTGCTCCTGGATGCACAGTGCGTCGCCGAGGTGCGCCTCCGCCACCGCCTGCTGTTGTGGGTCCTGCTGCTCGCCGAGGATGGTGGTGAAAGGGCCCCATCCACTGCCGTTGAGGCTCACGATGGTGAAGTGAGGGCGGCTACCCCCGCTTCCCCCTTCTGCGGATCCCCGCGGAGCGGAGTCCTTGGAGGAGCTTCTGGGCACGAAGCTTGCGCATGGCGGCGGCTGCGGCGGCCTTGCCTGCAGCGTCGCCTGCCTCCTCGCCGTTGCCCACCTCGCCCGATACGGCCTCTGCTGCCCCCTCCTCGGTGGCCTCTTCCTCCAGGGAGTCCAAGATGACGTCGACGTCCTTCTCGTCGATCTCCTGCTCGTCGCCGCTCCCGTCACGCTCCGCCGCGGCACCTGCTGCGGCAACGCGCTGTGCCAGACGCCGCAACTCTGCGACTTGGCCGTCCCATTGCTCAGCGAAGCCAGGGGCGAGCATGCCTGAGCACTGATTAAGAGCGGCGAGGAAAGCGGTGGCTCGCTCACCCTCGCTGAGCTGGGCGCCTGGGGACGCTGGTGCAGCCGTCCCTCGCGGCCCTTCCTCCCGCTGCTGTGCTTCGCGCTCGCGGAGCTGTTGCGCCAGGAGGTTGTCGATGAGCGCCTGGAGCTCCTTCTCGCCGGCCTGACTCTGCGCATGTTTGCCCTCCAGCTCGAGCTTGTGGGCCTGTAGTTCAGCGAGCTGCTTGTCCGCCGCCGAGATCCTGCTCGCCAAGGCCGCCGTGGTGGCCTCCTGGTTCTTCTGCTTGCGCTCCAACTCACTGAGCTGGACTGATGTAGGCTTGGTTGCTGCCAGCTCGTTTTCCAACTGCTGCGCCTCCTGCCGTTTGGATTCGAGAATGGCCTCCGCGCCGTCCACGCCCTCGATCTTCTTGATCTCACTTCGTAGCTTGCCCAATCGGCGGACACGTTCTGACTTGTCGTCAGGCTGCGACCCGACGCCTGCCGCCCCAGCGCCACCGCCATCGACTCCTGGTCCTGCTTGGCTGCTGGTCTCCAACTTTTTGACCTTCCTCCGCAACTGGTTGAGCTCGTGGCGTTCTCTGGCGTCCAGTTGTGACATGCCACTCCACCAAGAACTCGTACCAGAACCGCTTTCCCACCAGTCGTAGCCGCAACTCTTGCAGACATGCCGAGAGCCCCAATTCTTCTTGGCTCCGCACTGAGGGCAATCCCAGACCCTGGGCGCTGCACCGCTGCCGCCCGCGCCTGGGGCTTGGCCGCCCCGCTGTCCACGGCCACTACTGGCTCTGCCGCCGCCGCCGCGCGCGGCTCCTCGAGCACCACCTCCTCGTCCTGCCATTGGTCGAGCCCGCCGCGGCTGGGCTCCCAATCGGGCGACTGGGGCCGGGTGTCGGTGATGTAATATGGAAAGAGCTGTGGCCCCCAGGGCCACACTGAAAGCTTGGAAGATTGGGAATCTGACCCAAGAATGGACGCGACGGCTAGAGCCAGCCTCATGAGACCAGACATCTGCCCTGATCGCGCCACCTTGAGCCAAAATGGCTACGGATGATGATGATGATGATGATGATGATGATGATGATGATGATGATGATGATGATGATGATGATGATGATGATGATGATGATGATGATGATGATGATGATGATGATGATGATGATGATGATGATGATGATGATGATGATGATGATGATGATGATGATGATGATGTGGTGGTGGTGGTGGTGGTGGTGGTGGTGGTGGTGGTGGTGGTGGTGGTGGTGGTGGTGGTGGTGGTGGTGGTGATGGTGGTGGTGGTGGTGATGATAATGATGAGGAGGAGGAGGAGGCAACTGATGAGGAAGAGGGCGTGTGTGCGTGGGAGACAGGACGAGGAGGGGGGAGGAGACGCTTTTCACATGCGTCGGACACTATCGGGTTTTTTTAGGAGGTCTCTGGAGCACTCGGCGCGGCTTCCAGGAGCCTCCCGGAACCGTCGGTTTTGGTGTCTCTTGGGCAGCCAGGCCTGAGAAAGATTCAGAGGAGGAGGAGGAGGAGGAGGAGGAGGCGGAGGAGGAGGGTTCATTTTGAACAGGACTCACTGTCAGTGTCCCCGCGATTATTGTCCGTTTGAGACAGAGGCCTGGCTGCCCAACAGCGGCCGCTGTTCGTTTGGGGCAGCAATTGTTTGCGGGCATCGTCAATCCCATGTTTTTGGTACCCATTTCGGCCCCCCGCCAGGGAATCCCTGGCGGGGACCTCGCGCTGGGCTCCCTGACGTTGCCGCTGGAGGACGGGCCGCTGGGGCGGAGGGGGCGCGCCGCTTTCTGAGCCGCATGGTCGCCAGGGCACCCAGGGGGAGGAGGAGGAGGAGGAGGAGGAGGAGGAGGAGGAGGAGGAGGAGGAGGAGGAGGAGAAGAGGAGGAGGAGGAGGAGGAGGAGGAGGAGGAGAACAGCAGGAGGGAAGCAGTAGGAGACGGAAGACGAGAACCAGGAAGCGGCAGAGGAGGAGGAGGAGGAGGAGGAGGAGGAGGAGGAGGAGGAGGAGGAGAAGGTCGGAGGAGAAGGAGAACGAGCAGAACGATCAGGAGGAAGAGAAGGATGCAGAGGAGGAGGAGAAGGACGAGGAAGAGGAAGAGGAGGATGAAGAGGAGGAGGAGGAGGACGACGAGGAGGAGGAAGACGAGAACCCAGAAAAGACAGAGGAGGAGAAGAAGGAGGAGGAGGAGGAGAAGTTGGAAGAGGAGAACGAGGAGAACGATCAGGAGGAGGAGGAGGAGGAGGAGGAGGAGTAGGAGGAGGACGTCGGAGGAGAAGGAGAACGAGGAAAACGATCAGGAGGAGGAGGAGGAGGAGGAGGAGGAGAGGAGGAGGAGGCAGAGGAAGCGGAAGTGTAAGAGGAGGAGAGCGAGGAATAGGAGGAGGAGGAGGAGGAGGAGGGGAGGGAGAAGTTGGAAGAGGAGAACGATCAGGAGGAGGAGAAGGATGCAGAGGAGGAGGAGAAGGACGAGGAAGAGGAGGATGAAGAGGAGGGAGGAGGAGGAGGAGGAGACGACGAGGAGGAGGAAGACGAGAACCCGGAAAAGACAGAGGAGGAGAAGACGGAGGAGGAGGAGGAGGAGAAGTTGGAAGAGGAGAACGAGGAGAACGATCAGGAGGAGGAGGAGGAAGAGGAGGAGGAGTAGGAGGATGAGGTCGGAGGAGAAGGAAAACGAGGAGAACGATCAGGGAGGAGAGGAGGAGGCGGAGGAAGCTGAAGTGTAAGAGAAGGAGAGCGAGGAATAGGAGGAGGAGGAGGAGGAGGAGGAGGAGGAGGAGGAGGGAGCAGGAGGAGGAGGAGGAGGAGGAGGAGGAGGAGGAGGAGGAGGAGGAGGGAGGAGGGAGGAGGGAGCAGGAGGGAGGGAGCAGGAGGAGAAGAAGGGGCAGCGGGACAGGCTCCCCACCCGGACACCCTCCCGGTAGAGTCGGCTGTCGGCTGCAGCCTGGCCCGGGAGGGCACGCTCTCGGCGGCTCCCTGCCGCATGCAGCTGGTCTCGGCCCCGCCGCCGGGCGCCGTGCTCGACACATTCGCGCCTTGTGCGCCAGGGGGCGCCGGGAAAATCGGCTGACCTCGCCAGGAAAATCAGCCGCAGCCAACGCCAGCCAAAAAAGAACTGTGTGCAAGGGCAAGAAGCTCACGCTCTGCCGCGGCAGGGCGCAAGGGCGGCCCGCATGGGTGACTGGCGCTGCGTTTCCGCACTGTTTGGCAGCGCTGTGTCTCAGCAGTATCCGATCCTTTCTCTCTGAGGGCATCCTCGGGTCCCGCCTCGCCGCCAGGCCAGGCGGGGCGATGCCGAGCACACCGCTTTTTCTCTGTCGTGTGTTGTTCCACCCGCGCCCCTCCCGGCGACACTCCCTGCGCCCTTCCCGACGCCCTTCCCAAGCTTGGCGCCGGCACGACTGGCCGCGCCCCCGTTAGCGGCTTGTGAGACGGGCGACGCCCAGGACGACGTGGTGCTGCGTGACCTCGAGCTCTACACTGCCTGGGCCCTGAGCGCGCTGCTCGAGTGCACGCAGCCCCAGCAACGCTGCCGTGTTCGGCTTCTCGTGAGCCTGAGGACCTGGCTTGACCACATCGCCTGGCGGGCGCGCAACCTGAAGCCCAGCACGACGAGGTCCGCTGCCGCGCCTGCAGGGCTGCAGGGAGCTGATGCGCGGCACCGTGTGCGGGACGCCAGGCGAGCCCCTCCATTATGGCTACTGGCAGGCTGTGCTGGAGCTGCGTGGCGACAGTCTGGAGGGTCGTGCCTCGGACGACGCATTCTGACGCGCGGGTCCCAGTGTGGCCCCCTCTGGTTCCAGTTCAGTCTTCGGTCGCTTCGGCTAGCAACGGGCCCCTGTCCTCACCTGGCCCTCGGGGTACTGGCACTTGCCACGACCTGGCGCCAGACTCTGAGACCGTGGCTCTGGGACCCTTCTTCCTTCTCCTCCCTCCTCTTCGGGGGGCTGGTGGCTTGCCCACACGGTTCGCCAGCTCCTGGTTCCTGCGGGGTGGCCTGAGTCTTTGGTCGCCTCGCTGGCCAACCGCAAGAGTCTGCAATACTTCGGTGCTCTGGCACGCGCGCTGACCTCCAGGAGGACACGCTCCCTGGTAACCTGGTAGCAACGTGTGCTTGCTCCATCCCGATGCCCTGGCCAGAGCGTCCGCCCTCCAAGGTGGACGCTCCCATGCTCCAAGGCGCTTCCGCCCATCAGGTGCCCCTTGCAGCGGAATGCCCTCTGGCGGCCTGTTCCCCCCCTTGCGCTCGCGCCCTCCGCGTCCGCGGATAGAGAAAATCAGCGCCATGGTAAGGGATGGGAGGGAGGGGTAGGACGTCAGATATGACGCGAGCGCACCTAGCTTGGCGCTAGCCCCTTCCTCTCCCCCCTGCTGGGCATGCCCTGCGCGCGGCCCCCGCAAGGGCTCCCAGCCCGAAACCGGGCCGCGACCGCTCTGCCGCTCCTGCGGCCGGGCCTCGGCCACGACCCGGTGGCCCTTGCGGCTGGGCTGCTGCCCGCTCCACCCGGTTGTGATGCGCGCGCCGGCCAGGCGGGGCGCTTCTCCTCCCCTTCGTTTCTCCCGCCGCCTCCCACAGTGGGGGCGCGCATCAAGAAACCGAGCGTTTTTCGTCAGGGTTCCGTGGGTTCCTTCGTTCCGCGCGTTGCGCGATGGCTTCCCGCGGGCGTCGAGAAGCTTGCGCGCTCAGGATACCCAGGGTTCCCTCTCAGCTGCACCTGGCGCCAAAGACATCCTCGGTTTCTTGCGTCCGCGCGGTTCTTTCCCTCCCCTCCCACGCCGCCATGGCGCCGCCTGGGCAGCCGCCGCCGCGCGCTCACAGCAGGCTTCTTGCAGCCTCTGCTGGCACCGCTTCGGCAGTCGTCGGCATCTTGGTGGCCGGCTCCAGCAGCATTCTGCTGCAGCCCGCGCGCTTCGGCGCAGCCCCGTGGGTTTCTTGTCTTTCGCCTGGACCATCCTCGTCCCGCATCCAGCTAGCGCGGGCCCCCTGCAGCCAAGCCTGACGTTCCCAGCAATGTGACGGACAACCCGATGCTCCCGCTTCTGCAGCCCCGTGGGCCCTCTTCCTGGTGTGCTGGTTCACCTTGGCCTGCACGCCTCCAGCGACTGGCTTAGGTCCCTGGGTGTAACCATGATGCCGCCCCGCGTCCACTGGCAGGTCACTTCCGCCCTGACCTGCTGATCGCCCCTGCGCGTTCGTCCTGGAACTCGTTCCGCGGTGAGTGCCCTCCTCCTGCCTCCTGTCCCCCGCGTCCGTCCACACCCCACGCGCACCCTTTCTTTGCAGCTTTGCAGCCGGACAATTCGTTCGTCGCGCGCCGCCGACGTTTCGCACGCCCGTGCGGACTGCCTCTGCCGTGCTGCGGCGTAAAAGGCTTGTTCGCCCCGCGCCCAGTCTGGTACGGGACGTAAGAGTGACCTTTCGCCGGAGTGACTTGTGGTGCGGGCCCAATGGGACTCCCCGGTCGCCGAACGCGGTGCGGAAGTGGCATTTTGCGCGCTCGTGTGTGGTCCCCCCACGGCCCCCAAGGAAGGAGCCGCGCAACAAAGGTCATCTTACCCAGGGTCACTCTTGCGTGTAGTCGACTCCAGCCCGCCCCCCATGATCCTCCTCCGCCTCCCCCCCCCCCCCGCCACGTTGCCATGCCGATCGCCCCGCCTTGTCCCATGCGTTTCTTCACACTGCGGGCGGTCTGGCAGGGGCCCTCCACCGCGGCGTGGGCCCCCCCCCCCCAACCTGATCCCGGGGCCCCGACACGGTGTGGTGACCACCCCGTGGGGACTCCGTGGGGAGCCGGGGTGACACGACGGTTTTGGACAGTGGCCGTTCTCCGTGGATGTCTGGGGCCACAGCCCAAAGCCTCCTGAGTAGGATGCGCCCGAGTCTCGCCATGCGTGGGCACCCCTCGTGCGTGCTGTTGGGGAAAGGGTGTTCTCGGCTCTTCTGCAGAATCGGGTCTGCGTGCGGCTCTGATCGATTCCCGCCGCCATCCACAGCGCATAATCTAGATTGCCCCCGACATGGACAGGGCCGAAGCGGCGGAGGGCCCAAGCCAAACTGGCCGCTGGATGGATCGCAACGACGGGTAGGGGAAGTGGAGGGAGATCAAGCGGGATCCCAAACTCGGCGCGGTGACTTCGAAACTCCCGGAGACTTCGTTGCAGTGTCCCTCACAGCACAGTTTTGGGATGGCATGGGGGCGTAACCGTCGCAAGACACAGGGCTTGGCGGCGTGTGAGACAGATGGCGCTACCCAATTCCTGCTGAGAGCACGCGGGGGAAAGCCACAGACAGCATAATTATCTTCCATGTCCCCCTTGCGTAGTGTACCAGACAAGATTCGGCCGATGTTGTTTACTGATATGGAACCAGTGGTTTCGTGCGTACGCAAAGAGCAGTATAGGAGGCCAGCATACGCGCTGGTGTGATTGAGCTCGTTTCACAACTTTCCTTGCTTAGCACGCGTGCTGTCTCACATCTTCTGGCCCGGCGCATCGCCGGGGACGGCGACGCTCCGCGCCTTTCCCTCAGGGCCGCTATTCTATCATACTGTGTTAGATTTACTGCTATGATAGGTTGAGTAGAGATTGATTGGTGCGGACGATTGGTCGGCAAGGCGGCAAAGTGGATCGGCTTTGCATGGTTTCTCGACAGGAAGAAAGGCCCCGTTCAATTCCCGCCTCCGTGCTTAGTTGGCAGCGGAACTTTTTGGGGGGCAGTGGGCGTGCTGGTAGGCTACAGCTCGCATGTGTTGAAGGCTGCCGTGACGGATCGCCAAAACATGATGGTATGCTGCCCAGCACGTGGGTGGTGGGCGCGAGGACCCACGGCTGGACACGGCTAGGGAATCAGTTGGTTTCGGTTGCTGGTGCGCGCTGGCCAGTGTAAAGGCAGACGCGTGTGCTTTGCGGGCCTAGCCGTGCAGTGCTTCCGTCGGGTAGGGGCAAGGAAGGACTCGATAGTGGACGCGTCGCCGTAGCAGTCAGCGTCACGCTCTGGAGATTATGGCGCCTGTCCCGGCCACGCGCAGAGGGGGGTAGGGGGAGGGGGGAAGGCTTCTTAGGAGCACCCCTGCTTCTTAGAAGGCGCGGGCCCTCTCTGTAGATGTAAGGCCGGCGCCTTCTAAGAATCAGCCTCATTCTAAGAAGCCGTCCCCCCTTTCCCTACCCCCCTCTGCGCGCCGCCAGCTGTCCCAGCAGACAACAAGAGCCATAACGCCTGGATACCCTCCCTCTATGCACCTTTCCCTACGCTCTAGCGCCCTACATAGAAGTCTGCATGATCAGCCATGTATAGAGGTGTGTCCATCGAGAATTTTGGTAGCAATGCGACGGACGCGTGGTTGCCGTCTTCTCGCGCAAGAGTATCCTGCTAATTCATTGCGCAGTGCACAGTTGAGTACACACGTGTAAGCGCAATCATGCGAGGAAGCACAAGTGCGAATTCAAATGCGCAATCGCGCACAGTTCTCCTCCATTGTCGTATGTGTTTGGCTGAGTGGCGGCAAGCGAGCAGGACGGCGAATTGGCGATCCCCTTGACGGAGAGCAATTGGCAGCAGCCTGGCGAGCCCACCCAAGGCATCATCAGAGAATCGAGCAATGGAAAGGGGAGGAGCAAGAGCACAAGGATGGAAGTCATTGAGTGTTGTTTGCATGGTTGGGAGTGTTCTGCCGATCATCGGTCATAGATGGCATGCACGAGGCGCACCCTCACTGCGTGTGAGCATATCCAGATGTTTTGAACACGTGCAGCAAGAGCAGTCGTCTGAGAGGGGCATCGCTCGCAGCTTTGTCGCGGCGTGTATCGTGATTGGTAAGCATTCGTTGCACTCTCGATCGATTTACCTGTAGCACATCATGGTTGCGTACTCGGGCGATGCCCCCGAGGAAGGCCCGAAGGCTGCGGCCCATGCAGGACATAGGGCGGCAGCGAATCGGAAGAGAGGTGTCGGGGAGGCCCGGGGGGGGGGAGGAGGACGAGTCGCTCGTGCTTGGGCCCGCTTGCGACAACGCGAGCGCGCGCGAGTGAGAATGGCCCGCGAGGGAGGAGAAGGCACGGCGCCAACGGAGAGTCTAGAGAATGGGTAGGCACCACCAACGCTGGCAGGCACAAGGGCAGTTTCGAATTCACTTTCCTGCGCGACATTGTAAAACGTACGGGTAGGAGTAGGCGCGGGAAACTGCGGGTTTGGGGGGGCGCCAACATGCGTCCGACGAGGAAAGCGAGGCGAGCGCAGAGCAGGAAGCGAAGCAGTACAGAGCAGGAGTGGGCAGGACGGGGAGCAGTACGGAGCAGCATGGAGCAGCACGGAGCATCACTTAAGGATTCATAGAGGTCCCCGGGATCGGCCACGTGAGGTCCCCGCCTCGCCCTGGCAGCGCTTTCATATTCTCCCTCACCCCTCTACGCCCTCTTCTTCCTCATCCCCCAGGGGTCATCGAGTTCCCTGCCCTCATGGCCCTCCAGTAGTGGGACCCCTCAGAGCTTCTCGAGAGACAGGAACGGCACAGGCAGGAGCCGTCGGAGGCCCGCGCGGATTTCCGTTGTCGGCGCAACACTGCCCTCTCTTGGCGCGCGAAGCGCGCCAGGCGCGGAACCAGAGGCGCTGCCAGGGAGGGATCGGCGCCGATCTCAGAAAATGCTCGCAGTTCTTGGAGAGCTGGCGCCCATGTAGGTTTTACTTCTCCCAGCTTCGGGAAGGAGGAGGGGGGGGAGGATGTGGCGGAGCGGAGGATCCTGCCGCGCCATTCTTTCTGGGGCGGGAAGGCGTGTGGGTACTCGTGGCCCTCCAGAGATGGGGGAGGCCTCCCAAGGCTTCGGAGACGGGGGGAGCAGTGAGCTTTGGGGGGTCCCAGGCGCCCGAACTGATGACCTTTTCACAGCGGGGCTCCCCAGAGGTCTTGACCCCTTGCCAGGTCGGGGTGTTGCTAGAAGTGCCCCTAAGTCCAAGGTGCAGCCCGAGATTCCAATGAGGCCCCCACTGCCTCAAGAGCACCCCGCACAAGGCCCAGAGGGCCCAGGGGGCTCCAAACTGGAGCGAAAAGCTGGGGACACCTTTGGCAACCCCTGACCATGGACAGGCTTTTCATCCTGGGCCTTTCTCTGACGGTCTTGAGGGTTGGCGACGGCTCCTGGAGGCAGAACAAAATGCCAAAAGTGGTCCGTCGTGTTTTTCCGTTTCGCGGCGCGGGGAGGCCCAGGGGAGGAGGACGGCATTCGAGAGAAGGACCACGCTGACCATGACCAAGATGCCTCGGGATCTTGTCGACGCCGATTTTGGTCATGGTCCACGCCAGCCGTCGCAGATGCGTGAGCCTGATCCGCGAATTGACAATGGCCACGATGAACGGTGGCCAAGATCGGCGACGACGCTTCCGCACGCAGTTATGGTCATGGTCAGCGATTTCTCTCCCTCCAGGTGCACCGCTCCAGGGGCGCCGATGAGCAGGGGGGAAGGAGGGGGATGCTGCCGATGCTGATGCGGATGCTGATGATGATGGTGGTGATAATGATGATGCTCATGATGATGATCATGATGATGATGGTGCTGATGTCGATGCTATGACGGTGATATTGGTCATGCTGATGGTGCTGCTGATGACGGTCATGATACACTTGATGCTCATGATGTTGAGTATAATGGTGTTGATGATAATGGTGATGATGATGGTGATGATGAGGAGGAGGATGAGGATCAGGAGGAGGATGAAGATGAGGAGGATGAGGATGATGATGCTGATGCTGATGATGCTTTTGATGATGATGGTGATGATGATGGTGGTGATGGTGGTGATCCTGGTGATGATGATGATGATGATGATGATGATGATGATGATGATGAGGAGGAGGATGATGATGATGATGATGACGATGATGATGGTGATGGTGATGATGACGTTGATGATACTGATGCTGATGATCATGATAATGATGATGACGTGAATGCTGAGGAGGAGGAGGAGGGGGTGGAGAAGGACCAGTTTAAACCCAAGACGCATCAATGATTTTGGAATACGCCCTCCGTCAAAGTTCTCTTTCCATTGGTCCCTGCAACCACGTTCACGAGAAGGAGGGATGCCTCACCACAACCAGAACAACAGTAGCAAATCACCAGTTCTGTATCGTAACTTTCACTTTCGTTGTGGGCGCCGTTCTTGCTACGTTTTCAGATCGTGGATCTGCCCGTGATTTACCTGGTCGTTTTCTGTTCGTTGTCGGCACGTTGTTTCAAGACGTTTGGGTATCACGATGCCGACAGCTTGACGTCCACATTCCAGGATGTCCCTTTTAGAACGCTTTAGTAGAGTCAAGAGCGAAAAGTGGAAAACGGATGATAAAAATGCCCCCCAGCGCTTTTAAGAACCAGTCGGCGGCGGCAGGGTTGGGAATTCGCCGGACACGCGTCGAAATCTGAACCCTAGCCCCGCCGCCCATCGATTGAGGGCAATCGATGGTTGGTGTGGGTAGCGTTCGGATGTCGCCACCGATTGTGCTGTCCTCACCATCCACGTCGGCGCCAACGTCCTCGGCAGCAGCTGCCTCGGCGGCGGCGGCCTCCTCAGGGCATGGCGCGCCCTGGCTCTCGGACTCCCTTCAGCGCCTCCAGCGTAACCGACGCCCCCAGCGGCGCCTCCACGGAATCGTCGGCGTCGTCGTCGTCATCGTCGTCTTCGCCGTCTTCGCCGTCGTCGTCTTCGCCGTCTTCGTCGTCGTCGTCGGCGTCGGCGTCGTCGTCCTTGTCGTCTTCGTCGTCTTCGTCGTCGTCCTCGTCGGCCTTCGTCGTCGGCCTTCGTCGTCGTCGGCGTCGTCGTCCTTGTCGTCGTCGTCGTCGTCGTCGTCCTCGTCGTCGTCGTCGTCGGCCTCGTCGGCCTTCGGCCTTCGGCGTCGGCCTCGGCCTCGGCCTCGGGCGGGCGGGCGCGCCTGCGGCGGCCCTCAGAGAGCGCCCCCAGGGCGGCCCGCGGCGCCCGGCGCCCTCGACGCGGTGCTGCAGGCGGACGACCTCGCTGCGGGGCTGCAGGCCACGGCCGCGGCCCCGCCGCCGCGGGGCCGCTCCCTGGGGCAGCGCCGAGGGAGAGGCGGAGGCGGAGGAGGAGGAGGAGGAGGAGGAGGAGGAGGAGGAGGAGGAGGAGGAGAGGGCTGGAGGGGGAAGGGCACGCTCTCGAGGCTCGAGGGTCGAGGGTTGCGGGAGTTTTCGTGGGCTCCTGGAGGTCTCCCTTCCTCGGGGTGCGTTCCAACGGCTGCGCCTCGCGGAGGCCGTGCCGGGGGCGCCGGGATCGTCCCGAACCGCCGCCGGGGGCCCGAGTTAGCCGCTAAAGGTCTTCAGTTTTGGTCGCCCCCCGTGTTCCTTCGGCGGTGGCTGGGACTAGTCCTGAAACCTCCTCCTCCTCCTCCTCCTCTTCCTCCTCTTCCTCCTTCTCCTTCTCTTCCTCCTCCTCCTCCTCCTCGTTCCGCGGCGGGTGCCGTGGAAAACAAAGTATAGTTACCCATTATTTGTGGGACGACAGTTCTTGAATAAGGCAGCCGACAAAAATTCGCCGGCAAGGTCCCGGGCAGGTCCCGGGCAAGTCCCAGCCAGGTCCCGGCCTGGTCCCGGCCAGATCCCAGCAGATTCCCAAGAGCGCTCCAGGAGCGTTCCCAGTGGCCTCCAAGAGAGCTCAACATGGTCCGAGACGGTCCAAGAGCGATCCAAGACGCCAAAGATGGCCTCCAGACAACCCAAAACGCCTCCAAGACGGCCCAAGAAGTCTCCAAGAGACCTCCGAAGAGGGCCCACAGAGGCAGAACAAATGAATGTTGTTCCTTAAGTTTTTGAAGGATTTTGGCGTTCTCGCCTTTTTAACATACCGGCGTTCCAAGACAGCCCAAGAGGCTGCCAGTATCGCCCCAATGCTGCCCAAGAGGCCTCCAATATCGCCCAAAACGGCCCCAGAGGGCCTCAAGATCGCCCAAGAGGGCCCCAAGACGGCCCCTAGAGGGACCCCAAACGGCCCCAGAGGCGCCCAAGATCGCCCAAGAGGGCCCCAAGGCAGCCCCAAGAGGGGCCCAAGAGGGGGAACGCGAACCATCAATTCGAGCCTTCCGCCCAAAGATGCCCCCAGGAGGCCCCAAGAGACCCCCAAGAAAGCCCAGGAGGAGCCCCCCTGGAGGCCCCACGAGGCCCCCAAGAGGTTCAAAAAGAAGCCCCGAGAGGCCCCCAAATGGCCCACAAGAGGCCCCAAGAGGCCACGAACGCACAGGCAAACGCCTGCGATGGCACAATACGGGCTGGCGGAATGAGCGAAGCGATTGAATAATTAGGTACCCCCTATTGGGGGGGGTATTCTAAAGACCTTTCAGGGTTATCATCCGAAAACCTACGACATGGGAGAATAGGCTCAGGTGGGACCCCCAATCGACCATTGATCGCCGATGGGGTCCAATATCGCACCCCGCCCAGGAAAGTGCATTTGGCATTTTCGCAATCGGGGGCCTATCGCCGATTTATCGACGATGTATCGCCGATTCCGGGTCGATGTTTCCCCCTGTGCCAGTCCCCACCTATCGTTGCCCATCACAGCACTAGGGGGTCACTCTGTTTTAGGTGCGGTCGGGGACTTAGGCTTAGCGTCGGGGAGGGGCTTCGATCGAGGGGGGGCTTCGGACCTTTGGTTCTCGGAGGATTTCCAACCTCGGGATGACCTTCAGCGGCTGCGACTCGCCGAGAGCATTCTGGGGTTGCCCGGATCGCCCCCGAACGGCCGCCGGATAGCCGAGTTATGACCCGGAAGCCGGGGGCAACGTGGTCATGGGGTCGGGAGTTCTGGCATAGCGTGCTGCGCCGACGGTTCTGGCCCACCGCGCTTCGGTTCGGCACGCTGTCCACATGCCAATGCCCAGGCGTCAACGTCCCCAGACCCTTGCCCAGCCTCACGCCTGGCGGGGCGGAGCGACACGCTACCCTCTCGGAGGGCTTTGCGTGTCGCCGGGGCCGCCGCCGCGACACGCTAAGCATAAGGTCCCGACAGTGCGGGGGCAGTGTGTTCAGCGTTTGTCTTCTCCTCTTGCCTCCCTCCTCCTCCTCTGCGGCCCTCGAAGAACAAATCAGGGCGGGCCGGGACGATCAGAATTTGAGTTTCGTTTTCGAGAAGATGGCAGCGAACGTCTACGAAGCAGAAGAAACGTTGTCGTTGTTGGCGTTGCTGCCGTTCTGTGGGCGGCAGTCTGACGTGGTCCGACAGCGTGGTATGCATCCGGTGGGTCTGCAGCGCCGGGGCACTGCCTGCCCCCGATCTGGCGAGGCGTCTGCTGCTTGTGGTGATCCCGACCTCTTGGCGTCGCCATTGCGACAGGAGGAGGAGGAGGAGGAGGAGGAGGAGGAGGAGGAGGAGGAGGAGGAGGAGGAGGAGGAGGGGGAGGGGAGGAGGAGGAGGAGGGGGCGGTGGAGGAGGAGGAGGAGGGGGAGGAAAAGGAGGACCAGAAGGAGGAGCTTGGATTCGTCTCTTCGCTTTTTCATTTGGTTTTTGTTTCGTCTCATTTGCACACGTCCACCGATCACGCAGAGATGCAATCCCACGGGCGGTGCGGAGGTCATCTTCGCACCGCGCGTGCGATTGCAGACCGAGTTTTTGCTGCTGTTGCGGGTCGTATCTGGGGCGGTCGTTATCAGTGCATTTGTGCCCGCGGGCTGTGCAGTTCAATCATGGCGGAGAGCGCCCCTTACCACAACGCCGACGATTTTTGTGTGCCATCGGATTCGCCATCGGATCGTTCAAATTTCCCAATCTCTGCACTTCTGTTGTTGTTGTTGTCAGTGCGACGCCTCCGCCTCCCACTTCCGCTCCTACTTCCTCCTTGATCCTCTTCGACTTCTTCTTTTCCTTCCACTCCTTCGCCCGCTCCGACGTTGACCCATTCGCTGTCATAAAGTCAGAATTACGCTGCAACAGTGACTGACAGTCACAGGCTGATTGTCTCAAGAGCACGGAACAGGTGCTATAGTTTGTACGGATCTTCTGTTCGCCACAAGGCCGGTGTCTTGCCTTCGCACTGGCGGCCTCGAGAATTTCATCCAGCAGCGGATATTGTTTGCCATGTCGCGTTAGATCGCCAGGAGGGAGTCGACGAGTTGGCTCCCAAGGAGCTTTTTGACAAAGTCGAGGCTGGATGGCATATCCAAGTCTTCGCAGATGGTGGATTGTGAAGGTATCGGGTCTTTGGGCGCCGTCACACTTGCAATTGCATCCACTTCGTCATTCGAGAGGGGGTTCCTCGGCCTACCGTAGCCTTTTTCTGGGCGAGGCCAAGTCAGCCATTTCACGCGGAAGTCGTTGCAGCCGAATTCGCCGTGCGAGTTGTTGCGGCCATGAGCCCCGTGAATAAAGAGACATGCGTCCGCATTGATATGCTGTTTTCTCTGTATCGAATTCGGTCACTCATGTATCCTGCGAGCTCTTCATTGCTGCATGTTGTATATTCGTATGAATTGTTGGCAGCTCGACGAGGGTAGCTTTCTTGGAAATATCGCCCTTACCCATCGCAGGATCACCGACGTTCTCACTCACTCATAATATGATGTCTCTTGCTCAGGCCCAGTCACATTCGATTCATTCGTGCTCACTGACACTCATAACGCGCTTCTACTAGCACCAAGAAGCATTCAAACTCATACCACCCACATTCATATTCAGTCATACGCACCCTGGTCAAGCCCACAGTCACACACGCGGTCCATTCATACTCAGATCGTTCATGTCCAGAGGCGTTCATATTCCGATTCACGCGCGTTCAGAATCTTCCACTCATTCTTTCACATTCAGACCCACGCATACCCATACTCATACTCAGAAGCCTATGAGTATTGCGATGTAACGCCCGTAGCATGTGTGAGTGATGGGGAACCGCCCAGAGTCATCACATTTGCCAGTAGGCAAATCAAATAGGAAACCAGCCTGCCAGCAGGTGCACCACGGAAGTTCCCAATCTCCCGATGGCTCTAGGAGCTCACTGAGGTGTTGGGGCGCCCTAGTTCCTTCAAAGAGCGGCGAAGCGTGTGCTCAAAGATCTTTTCTGAGAAGACGTCCTATCGTAGGTGTCGACTGTACTGTCGGCGACACCCAAACATACTGATACTATGTGTGCGTCGTCCCCCAAAGGGGCGACGCGCGCGCGCGCTCAGAAGTCTGACCGTACATGCTCCGTGGCGGGCGTTTTCTGTCCATATTGTTCGGGGAACGATATACCAGAAAATGGTTGTACTTTATGTTCGGTCTGCACGTGAGCCCCTGAGGAGGGTGCATGGTACTACTATATCCTTCTGTTTCTTAGTGGCCCTAGAAACGGCATGGCCGTTCTTTCAATGTTTTCGAACAAGTGTCTCTTGAAAACGGAAGCGGTAGACAAAAACAGCGGTTGGAAACGGCAGCAAAAACGGTTCCGGGATTGGAACCAGAGCCGGGAAAAACATGGCGACGGATTTGGCAATAAAAGAATGTCGACGGATTCGGCAACAACAATTGCAGAACGGGATGGGCAAAACATGGCCTTGTCTTTTCCAGGGCCCACTATAAGTTCTGCGTCCGATACTGGCCCATACTGCTCGGGGAACGATCTACCCGAATATGTTTCTACTAGCTGTTCGGTCTGCATGTGCGCCTCCGAGGAGGGCGCATAGTACTACACCTTGTTCATGTCAAATTATTCGAAGGTTCTTCGATTTTTAGGGGGGGGCCAAGATCCGTTCATTTCTAATTGTTCCATCCTGGGCCTCTTCCTGGCCACCAGGGGGCCAGGAACAAGTAGAAACGAGCACAATTAGAATTGAAAAAATCAGACATGAACGACGTGTATCTCCTTCATGCGTCCCCTGCTGGCCCAGCCTCCCTCGCCCCAGGACTTCGACGTGACCGCCCTCGGCGACGCCGCGCCCGCCCGGGCAGCGCTGGCGGCGCCCGCGGTGGGGCCGGGATCCGCGAAGCCGCGGCCGCGGCTGCGGCACGCCGTTTGCCCCCCTCTGCAGGGCCCGCTCGCGTGCTCTGATGGGCGGTCTGCCGCCCCCTTTCCCTTTCCGGGGCCCTCTGGGGGCCCCTCGCAGAGACCCAACGCATTGAACGCGTCAAGGCGGAGGTTTTTCGCAATTGTCGGCCTGTCACGGCCCTCGCCGGGCCCTGGGACCGTCAAAGAGCGACTCGGGACGAAAAGCCGGTCCTGGGCAATGGGTCGAGACTTCCGGAGACCCCGCACGGAAAAAATATGCCGCATCGGCTCTCTATGGGTGATGGGGCCGCCCTGAGGCCCCCCATGGGGGCTCTCTTGAGGGCGCCGTGCGGGCCGCCGTGCCTGTGGCAGCCCGGGGCCGCGGTCCGATTTCCGGGGGCCGCTCGGTCTCTCACCACCCACCAAACCACCCCAACCCAACCCGAAGGCTCAGATTTACCCTCGATTTCTAGTGGGGGGGGGTTCGGGAAACATCGAAAAAACACGCGTAGAGCCCTTACCCCCCCAACCCGAAATTCGGGTCTTCGGGTTGGGTTGGGGTGGTCTGGTAGGTAGTCAGTCTCCGCCCCGCCCCTTGCGAGGCGCCCGCCTGGCGACGGCCCGGTGCCTCCTCCTCGGCGGCCGGGGGGGGGGGGCTCCCCCCCGTCCGCCCGGGGGGGGGGGGCGGCCGCCCCCCTCGGCGGACGAGGGCCCCCCGTCCGCCGGGGCCCCCCGGGGGTCGGCGCCCCCCCTCGGCGGACGGGGGCCTCCTCCTCCTCCTCTCCTCCTCCTCCTCCTCCTCCTCCTCCTCCTCCTCCTCCTCCTCCTCCTCCTCCTTCGCGGCGCCCCCCTCGTCCCCGTCCGCCGGGGCCCCCCTCGGCCGCCCCGCCCCCCCCAGAGGGGGGGGGGGGGCGGCCGAGGTGTCCGCGTCGGCGGCCCGTGCTCTTGCGGGCGAGTCTCTCTCCTGGGGAGCCTCGTGGGGGATCGTGGCTGCTCTTCGGGTTCGAGGTTTTCTCGGGCGGTTGCGTCGTTTCTCTGCGGTTGTCCAGCCCCGGGATGGCTTCCAGCGGCCGCGCCCCGCCAAGATCGTTCAGGGGGTCCTCGGATCGTCCCGGACGGTCTCCGGAGCTCGGAGTCATGACCCGAAATTCAAGGGGGACGCATCGACCCCCAATCGCCCATTCATATCTGCTAGGGGCCCGATAGCCCGCCCAGCCCAGGAACTGGCGGTTGTGCTACCGAGAGCCCATCGCTGATCTGTCGGCGATGTATCACCGAGTCCAGGTCGATCTTCCCCCATGGAGCCAGTCCCCCCTTATATTTCCCTTTATGTTCCTGCAGGCGGGTGGGAGATGTTGGCTGCTTTGTTGTAGATTTGGGCTGGGAGGTACGGGAGCAAGGCTAGGTGTGCTCGCACCATGTCTGGCATCCTACCCCTCTCACCCATCCCTTCCCACTGCGCGGAATTCTTTACAATATCCACCAGTTTGAGTGTCCTAGATTACCTTGACCCTCAACATGGTCTCATCGTTCGATGGGGGTGTTGTGCATTGGACGAGGAAGAGGAGGAAAAGGAGAAGGTGAAGGATAAACAGGAGGAAGAGCAGGAGGAAAAGCAGGATAATAAGGGAAGGGCAGCAGGATCAGGAGGATTTGAAGGAGCAGGAGGGTCAGAAGAAGGCGGCGGAGGGAAAAGGATGCGGACGGCAACGACGAGGAACGAGTTCGACCCAGACATGTGGCCCGCGATGGGGTTACAGTGCAAATCTGAAAGACGAGAGCCACGCACCGATGCTGACGTGCGGCCAACGCAGGGCCCATGGACAAAGGCAATGTTTCAAATCCTGCGCCTTTGAGCAGCAGTGTGCGAGCGGGGGTGCGCCCCCGCACAACACAGCACCAGGGGAGAGAGGAGAGTAGCACGCATCTGAGAGGAGCCCGCCCGCCCGACCCGACCGTTTGATTGGGCCCCGCCCGCCCTGCTCGCCTGCTAAGGACCAGGCCGCTCGAATGCCTGAAAGCACGCCGCCCGCCTCGATGCCCCGCCCGCCCGCCCGAAGCGCCCCCTCGGGCCCCTCCCGCCACCCGCCCGTTAGGGTTCCTCCAGCCCGACCTGCCCGTGATGGTGCCGCCCGTTGGAGCCCCGCCCGCTCGAACGTGTGAAGCCTTGGTCGCTGTAAAGTCCCTCCCGCCCCACCTGGCCGCCACACCCGCCCGCCGCATCGAGTGTCCTGCCCGCATCGTTGTCGTCATCGTGGTCGTCTGCCGTCCTCGTCGGTGTCGCCGCCGTCGTTCTTGCGCGCGCGTGTGTGTGCGCGCGTGTGTGTGCGCGCGTGTGTGTGTGTTGTACACCTCACCCCTGAGCGTGCCTGGACACGTGCCTTCAGCATATGCACCTGCCAGCCTTCCTTTCCTCACTGTGGCTGGCAATGCCTCAACGTGCTGTCCTGTCGCCCTTGCCTGGTCTCCGCCTGGCCGTCCTGCCCATGTGTTCGGGCCACCCCACAGCCGCACTGCCGCCTGGCCGCTCCTGCTGGCGTCTCTGCGTGCGCCTGTCTGACGAGCACGCCTTCTTATCTGCACGCGCAATCGTCTGACGGTTGCCCCTTCCTTCATCGGCATACGTTTGGCGGTAATTAACCCAGCGCCACCCGTTGACACCCGTGCTGAGTTTGATGTGTTGGCCGGGATTGTGTGTGTGCTGCAGGCCCTACTTCGACGGCATGGTCCTCGCGCTGCGCCGCTATTTGCTGCACACCGTATTCGGTGCCTGATGCCGCCTGCGCACCCCTCACCCATCGACTCTCGACAGTCGGGCCTCCTCCCTCTTTCCTCCTCGGCTGCCGCCCTGTTCTTTTCCATTCGCCTCCGCGCCCCGCGCCCGGCGCGCCCCGCCGGTACCGACCCCCGTGTTCGCGCGCGCGTGCGTGCGTGCGTGCGTGCGTGCGTGCGCGTGTGTGTGTGTGTGTGTGTGTGTGTGTGTTGTGTGTTGTGTGTGTTGTGTGTGTGTTGTTTGTTGTGCGTTGTGTGTTGTGTGTTGTGTGTTGTGTGTTGCGTGTGTGTGTGTGTGTGAGAGAGAGAATGTGTGTGTGCGCGTGCGTGCGTGGGTGTGTGTGTGTGTGTGTGTGCGTGCGTGCGTGCGTGCGTGCGTGCGTGCGTGCGTGCGTGCGTGCGTATGTGTGTTACACGCTTCCCCACGACGCGCCCCCGCAGCGAGAGGCGGCCGCCGCCGCGCAGCGCACGGCGGCCGAGGTGCCCGCGGTGAACAGCTCGGCGCCCGTGGCTCGGGATGCTCGGGCCAGCGCGCGCTGCCATGCCCTGCCATGCCCTGCTGTTCCCTGCCTTGCCCCCCTCCCTTTTTTTTTTCCTCTCTCTCTCTCTCTCTCTCGCTCTCTCTCTCCCTTTCCCCCCCCGCTCTCTCAAAGCCTTGGCGCGGCTATCCCTCCATCGCGGCGCCCCCCCACGCGCGTCGCTGGCGTGCGGCGGCGGCACCGCCGCACGCCAGTGACGGTAGGTTCCGAAGGGGGCAGGGGTAGGAGGAGGACCGCACATTGTCACCAGATTCTGACACGTAGAGGAACGGGGGGAGGTATGGGTGGAGCGGCGGGGCACTCACGGAATGCCGTAGCGGTTGCGGATGACGTCGTACTTTGCTTGTGGCGACGTACATGGCGCACCTTGTCGGTAACGTTGCAGACGAGGTAGCGCAGCAGTTTGCGGGCTGAACAAACATGTAGTTGTACTTGGAATGAACCGACTTAGGGTTGGCCGTGATCACCGCGGTGCCACATTAAGATCATGCGGTAGTTCTTGTAGGACATTATGAAGGCCTCTCATACAGCGGTGCGCAACTGCTATGTGCTCTTCGTGTTCGTCTTACGAGACGCGGCCTGCCTTGTAGACGGCCTCTATGCTTCGGATCCGCAGCTGGAGTTCACTGTCCCAGTTGTCCTGGCAGTTGGCTGCAATCTTGCGTGGATCACATGGCCGTGGTAGAAGCTCTTCTGGTGGCCGTCGTAGCTCGGCTGGTTGCCCTCGTAGCTCAGGTGGCCCTCGGAACTTTGCTGGTAGCCCTCGCAGCTCCTCTAGTCCTAGTGGCCCTCGTTTTACAGCTGGTGGCCGAGGTAGCTCAGTTTGCAGCCCTCGTGGTTCAGCTGGTGGCCCTGGTAGATCTGCAGGTGGTCATCGTGACTCTAGCGGTGGCTCTCGTAGCCCAGCAGTTTTCCTCCTCGATGGCTCAGCTGGTGGCCGGAGTAGCATTCGTAGCTGAGCGGTTTGCCCCCGTAACTCAGCTGTTGGCCGAGTAACTCAGCTCGTGGCCCTCGTAGCCCTGCTGGTGGTCCTCGTCGCTCAGCAGTTGGCCCGGGAAGTTCTTGAGGTGGTCCTCGTGGATCGTAGGGTGGCATTGGTAGTTAAGTTGGTGGCCCTTGAAGCTCTGCTGGTGGCTCTCGAAGCTCTTCTGGTAGTCCTTGACGAGCAGGGGGTGGTTATCGTGGCTCTGCGGGCTCAGGTGGCTCAGCTGGAGGCCCCAGAAGCTCCGCTTGGTGTCGGCGTAGCCCAGCTCGTGGTCCTCGTAGTTCTGCTGGTGGCCTTGGTGGCTCAGCTGGCTTCTTGAGGCAGCTACGGAGGGGTGTAAGGGCGTAGTTGGTGCACGGCGGCTTCCACGTCGTCATGTCTAGGGCCGCGTGATGGTAGTATCCCCGTCATTGTTGGTCGAGGAAGCTGTTCCAGCCAGGTGGCAGGGAGGCTGGTGCCAATGGCTCTCGTGGTTCGGCTGGTAGCTCTCGTAGCTCAGCTGGTGGTCCTCGAAGCTCTGCATGTCGTCCTCCTAGTTCGACTGGTGGTCCGCGTAGAAATGCTTGTGACCCTCATTGCTCTGCGCGTTGTCCTGGAAGCTCAGCCTGTGGCCTTCGTGGCTCTGCGCGTGGCTTGCCAAGCTCAGGAGGTGGCTCTTGAAGCCGAGCTGGTTGCCCTCTAAACTCTGGCCCTTGCCGTCGTAGCTCCGTTCGTGGCTCTCGAAGTTCAGCTGGTCGGTCTTGAGGCTCTGCTTCTTGCCGTTGAAGCTCTGCTGGTAGCCCTCGAGGTTCAGCTGGTGAACCTCTGAGCCGAAGCGCAGCTGGTGGCCTTCGAAGCTTAGGCACTGGCTCTCGAGGCTCTGCTTCTTGCCGTCGAAGCTCTGCTGGTGGCCCTCGTATTTCGATCGAGTTGAGCCGTGGCGACGGTGGGGGGGTCCTTCGCGACGTAGCCCGTAGGGCTAGGTGTGGGTTGCCGCCGCGTGGGGGGGTACCCAGCTTGATTCTCTTGATAGGGCTTACGCCCGTGTCTGCCTCGGGTTGAGGCGCCCGCGGGGGCAGGGGAGGCGCGTGCTCCCCAGCGGCCAGGCAGCAGTCGAGGAGTCTGCCAGCTGGCCCCGAGGGCACGTTCACATCGTAGTCCCCGAGGTCCGAGGCGGAGTCGTCGGCTGCCAAGACGCGGTGCTCCGCGTGCCCCGGATGTCACTGCAGTCCCGGAAGCTGCGGCCGTTGTCCCCGCAGTCCAGGCGGCCTTCGTAGCCCGCGTGGTCGTGGTCGTGGAGCCCCGCGTGGCAAGGGTGGTCACTGCAGTTCTGGGCGGCAGCGCAGTCCGTGTGGGCCCGTCGGCGCCAAGGGAGGGTACCTCTATGATCACATGCTTGTGGCACTCGGTGTCGTGCTCGGTGTCGTGCCTTGTGTCGCACCTGCTATCGTACACACTGTTCATTTCTAAGTATTCGAGAGGTCTTTGATTTTTCGGGGGCCAAGATCCTTTCATTTCTAATTGTTCCATCCTGGGCCTCTTCCTGGCCACTGGGGGGCCAGGAACAATTAGAAATGAGCACAGTTAGAAATGAGCACGATTAGAAATGAACGACGTGGACCTGGACGCCCTCGCGTCGGCGGCCGTGGCAACGATACTGAGATCGTCGGATTGAGGTTGCATCCTATGGCGGACGCAGTACCCCACTCGTTGTGGGGGCCGCGTCTGTCCGCGCCCGTGCTGATCCGTGCGTTTATGGTCTCGGCATACTTACCGGGTGGGTCTCCACCAGGTTGGGTAGGTCTCCTAGCCCTTGGCCAACGTTGAAGGTGTCCGCCATGTGATCCAACAGCTGGTTTTTGGTTTGTAAGGGCGCCCTCGAGGGCGCGAAGTTATTCGCGCTTCGCGGTTCGGCTCCGATTCCTCCTCGTCCTCCTCTTCTCCCCTGGGAGGCGGCGCGAGAGGGCGAAGTTATTCGCACTTCGCGCTTCGCGCAGCGCGAAGCGCGAAGTTGGGAGCCCCCTCCCAATTGTTCAACCTCCGGTGGATGATGTTGCAGTCGCAGTTGATCGCCTTCCCGTGGTACGCGCGCCGCCAGCCTCCCATGGCGCGGCGGCACGCTGAGGCCCAGGCCGGCCCCAACGAGGGCGGCCGCGTGCGCGGGGCGCGGCGCCGGGGGCGAGTGTGGGGGATCGAGCTCCCGCAAACGGCCCTGAGGCAAAATGGCCACCTCTTCATCCCCATCCCTCCTCCTCCTCCTCCGCCTCCCTCTCCTCCTCCCTCCAATTCCTATTCCTACTCCTCCTCCTCCTTCACCATTCCTTTTCCTGATGAGTAGCTCCTCCCTGTCACACCCCGAGGCTGGTCGGAAGGGTGGGCCAGGCGTTTCGCCCCGGGCCTTGAAGCCAAACGAATGGCAACAGCTTCACAGATGGAGGGCGGGCCGCCTCCGAGATGTGGCCCTCGCCTTAACGCCGCGCGCATTCATGTCAAACAGGTGCGAGAGCTTCGCGTATTGAGGGCGGGTTTTGCATTACGGCTCTCGCCCTAGAGCCGTGTGCACTCTTTCTTAAGAGTCCCAAGGTTTTCACGAATGAGGGCGGGTCTTTTTCAATGTGTCTTTCGCCTTGGCGCCGCGCGCATGGTTTTGAAATATTGCAATAGTTGCATTACGGATTGAGGGCGGTCCTTTTTCAAAAAGTGGTTCTCGCATTCGCCCCACGTACATTCGTTTTTAATCTGCAAGAGTTTCACGGGTCCCCATGATCCACGTACCATGAATATTGTGTTTTGGAAGGACTCAGGAATGTGTGGGTCAACAATTATTTCGATTCGCGGTATTCAAGTCCCAAGAATGGTGCTCTGGCACGATTCAGGATCGTCAAGACGCAACAGTCAGGTCCATCCGTGGCGTGGGAGTCTCGAGAATGGTGTTTTGGCGCGCTTCAGGGTATTCAAATCTTTGTCTCCCAACGAGGCAGTTCCCTCAATGGACATGAACACTTGTAGGGGCCTATGAAGAGGGAGCTTAGAGGGAGGGTTTATTCCAACATCGTTGATGAGTATTGGGTTTGCACTGGTACGCCTCCTCCTCCTCCTCCTCCACCTGAACGCTCAGCTCTTTTTTCCTGGCCGCTCTGAGGAACTTTTTGGGGCTGTCATCGCGCCCGACCGCTCTCAGTCATAGGTGAACGATGTGGCCGCGCATTCGAGCGCCCCCAGCTTTTGCGCGCTGTTTTTCAGATTTCGCATCGCGAAGGGGCCAATTCCAATTCCAATTCCTCCTCATCCTCCCTCCTATTCATCCTTTCCTCCCTCCTGCTCCTCCTCCTCCTCCTCCTCCTCCTCCTCCTCCTCCTCCTCTTCCTCCTCCTCCTCGTGCTCCTCCTCGTGCTCCTCCTCCTCCTCCTCCCTCCTCCTCCTCCTCTCCTCCTCCTCCTCCTCCTCCTCCTCCTCCCCCTCCTCCTTCTCCTCCGATTCCTCCTCCTCCTCCCTTCTCCTCCCGGCCTCTCCTCCCTCCCTCCCTCCCTCCCTCCCTCCGTCCCCCCTTCCCTGCTGTGGGCAGGGCAGGGCACGAATGCCCCATATGTGGGGAGCCGGGGGGGGGGAGGGGAGGGAGAGAGGGGGCAGGCCTGCTCCGAGGGCGGCGGGGCTTCTCGGGGGCCCCCGGGCCCTCCGAGGAGCCCCCGCTCGGGAGGCGTCTTGGGAGGCCGGAGGTCTTCGGAGCCTCCCGGAGGGCCCACCCTCAGGCCGCCTTCCCTCGGGGAGGGGCGCGCCCCGGGCCAGGCCACTGCGGACGCCTCTGGAACCTGTGCCGTGCGTGCTGCGCCTCCGCCCTGGCCTCCGCGGCTCGCGTGGGCGGCGAATGCACCGGGCGTGCCGCCAGCCGCAGCCTGCACGCTGGCGCGGCATTGTGGAGCAGCGGGGGCCGAGCGCGAGAGGAGCACGGGAGGGGGCCATGCTCGCCCTCGCTCGGCCGCGCAGCTTGGAGGGGCGTCGCCTCCCGCCGCCACCTCTGCTCTCGTCCTCCCCCTTTGCGCTTCTCCCGCCTCTCCCTCCTGCTCCTCGGCGTCTCCGGATGGCGTCCTTCCTGCCTGCTGCGACCATGGCGCCGGGCCTGGTGATGGAGGTCGCCCTGCTGGAGGCAGGTGGCATTCGCGTTGTCCAGGTTCGATTCGAGGAGCGCGGGCCAGGTGTCGACGGAAGTCGGCCAGCGGGTGCCTCTCGGGTGGTCCAGCGTGCCTCCGAGAGTCTGGGCCTCGCGTCCGCCGCGCGGGCCTGGGCTCGGCGCGGAGCTGCACGCCGCTGCATGCGCGGCCTCTCGTAGGGCCTAGGATGCGAGCGGCCAAGGAGGGGAGGCGCTGCTACAGCAGGCGCGCTGAGGAGGACGTCGGCTTGCCAACAGGTGCCCCGTGGAACTGTCTCGCCACCGAGAGCCCCCGGGACCCGCGGAAGCTCAGTGGCGCCTTCGGACCTTCAAAGATCGACGAAGACCGTGCCCCAAGATTTCGTATAGCAAGGTTCAGGAGGGAAAGAAACACACAGACACAATTCATCGGCGAGTCCCCAGAAAATGTGGGAAAATATGGGAAGTGGGGGGGAAGACAAGAAACCCAGAAAATATTGGATAATACGGGGAGTCTGCTTATTTGTGTGTATTTATTTGTGTGTCCTGGGGCTCCTCTAAAGGTGTCTTGTCGTGTGCCTGGCCAGGCATCGCCTGGACAGAGGAGGAGGTGGCGTTGCCCTCGAGCCTCGGAGCCCCGCTCCCGGTCCTCACCGGGGGGGGGGGGGGGGTTGTCCAGAGGATCATCCCGTTGCGTCTCATGGCTTCAGCTCGCATCAAGAAGCTGATGCGACGCTGGCCTGGGCTTCAGGCGCTTCTCCGATGAGGCGCGTGGTGCTGGGACGTTCTTTCCTCCATGGTGCTTTGCGGCGTGACGGCGGGGCACTCGTGACCAGCGAGTGCCTCAGGATGGGGGTCCTCCATGCTGCCCAGGGAGAGGGAGGCGGAGGAGGAGGAGGAGGAGGAGGAGGACCAGTGTAAGCGTGCAAGCCCAAGAGTCATCAAGGATGTTGGAATCAGCCATTTTTTCAAGCTCCCTCTTCATAGGCCCCAACAGCGGTTCAGTTCCACTGAGGAGCTGCTGCCTCGTTGGAAGACAACCGTTTGAAGATCCTGACGCATGGCAAAACATTGCTCTCGGGACTCCCACGCCACGGATCAACTTGACTGTTGCGTCTTGACAATCCTGAATCGCGCTAGAACGCCATTCCTGGGACTTCGACATCGCGAATCAACGTAACTGTTGCGCCCTCATAATCCTACATCTCTCCAAAACACCATGTCTTGTACGCTGACCATGGGACTCCGCGAAACTCTTGCACCTTTGAGAATCGAATGTGCGCGGCGCCAAAACCAGAGCCACATATTGAAAAGGAACCGCCCTCAATCCGCAAAAAAATGCAATGTGTTTGAACCATGTGCGCGGCGCTAAGACGAGAACCACATTTTGAAAACGGCCCGCCCTACATCTGCAAAGCTGTTGCCAATCATTACGCGTCAGGGTCATACGTAAACGGTGAGGAAGTCTTAGGCGAAACGCCCGGCCCGCCCAAACAATTGGCCTCGGGGTGCGTGCGGCAGGGAAAAGTTATTCATGAGGAGAAGGAATGGAGGACGAGGCAGAGGAGGAGAAAGCGGAATGGAAATTTCCTATCGTGTGCGCCTGTTGCGTTGCCCCCCATGTTGCCAGGGGAGAGGGAAAAGGAGGAAGAAGAGGAGGAGGAGGCTGCCGAATGGTAATTTCTCATCGTGTGCGCCTGCTGCGTTGCTGCCCGCCTCCGCCCCCCCGCTCAGAGCGCCGGCCGCCCAGGACCCGACGCCACGAGGCCCGCAGCTCGTGCTGGAGCCCGCGCCGCCGCCAGGATTTGCCGAGGCAGGGGTGGCGGGGCGGAACGTTCGGCCTGCCCCCATCCCACATCCCTCGTCCCCGTCCTCCTCCTCCTCCTCTTCCTCCTCCTCCTCCTCCTCCTCCTGCTCCATCCTCCTCCTCCTCCTGCTCCAGCAGACCTTCCAGCATCAAGTGGGAGGTAAAACAAGGGGACCGGCTAAGCTCCTGAGTGTTCAGTATGTTCTCGAGCGCGTATCCCGACCAGTGAGGCTTGCATGGCGACGCAAGGAGTTTGAAATCCTTTTCGGTTTCGCACAAGCAGCGCGGATCACACATGTGCGTTTCGCCAACGATGTCTTGCTCCATGGCCTGAACATTCGACAGCTTTCCATCCTTCTCCGTGGTGTGAAGTTGCAAGCGAAAACGTGTGGTCTGACGTTGCACCAGACAAGACCAAGATTTTGACGAACGTCCAATGGAGGGAGGGAAGAACAGTTACCCATGGCGACATCAATGGCGAGAACGTCGAAATAAGATGTTCATACTCGAGCACGAAGTTATTGGGGATGCATCTCAACTTTCACGACTTCCACGACAACCAGAACTACGCAACAGGATTGTTGCATGAGTGGTCGATCCAGTCAATCTCTTCACGAGATGACAAGCACGCGCGTCTCATTCCACAAACGTTTGAAGATGTTCAACGGCACAAGAAATGCATCGGTGATGTACGGATGCTATTCGTGGACCATCGTCACAGGGATGCTCTCCGCTTTACGACGTGCACTGCGGAGAATGTTCAGGCGTGTAGTGGGATTGCCACGGCATGGTGATCTACATAACCATACGTGGACGGCAGACAGACCTACCCAACATTACAGATATAACGAGATAGAAGAGGATGCGTTAGAACCATGGCGGGCTTCATACGAAGATCGATTCGCACAACCCTGGGGCATGCACGGCGTACAGGTGTGGTGAATTGGACCACGATCTACGTCAAACGGAGTTGGCGGCGGGCATCGGATGTCGCAGCCCACGACTATGACAGGCGGACGTGGCTTTTTGCATAGCGGGCCCCCGACACCCACGACCCACGCCCAGACCAACAACGTCATGGAAGGCAACGTAGGAATTGGGGTGTCCCTGTAAACGATAACTGCGAGCGACGATGGTGGCGACAACAAGATCATACGCACGGCCACGGACAAAAAATATGGACAGCACTGGAGCCGAAATTTTTGGCGCGCGACAGACCAGGGGAATGTGCATACCACAGGCGGGAACAACGACAAGTCATAACGAGTTTGGGACGTGTCCCTTCTCCGACTCTAGTTTCTGGTCTTGTTTTTTCTGACCCCGGCCCCCTGGTTTTCTTCTCTCCGCATCGGGCCCCCATCTCCCGCCACTGTTCCCAGCGCCCTCCGGTACCTACCCTCGCGCGCCTACAGGTGAGCGGTTGGCCAGCCTCACTCAGATGATAAGATGTACACCCTCGGCGATGCTTAAGAAAACTTAAGTTTTCGGCCAGAGTCTCGATTATTCTTAATGCTTCAATGTAAATCCCAAGATTTTAATAGGAGTTCTGGTTTTTTTATTCAGATTCTGAGATGATGAATTTCTTAATGCATGATTTCTAAAGCATTTCGCAGGGTGTAGTCGTATTTCGTGGCGCTCTGGCGCCAACGCCGGGCTCTCGTGTGGCCGCCCTCCTTGGGGCGAGAGACCGGCGCCTTGCCTCGCCTGTCCTCGCCTCACGCCCACGGCGTGGAGGGTGCGGGCCGAGAGGGCGCTCCTCCGAGAAGAGGAGGAGGAGGAGGAGGAGGAGGAGGAGGAGGAGGAGGAGGAGGAGGAGGAGGAGGAGGAGGAGGAGGAGGAGGGGGGGGGGAGGGGGGGGGGGGGGGGGGAGGAGGAGGAGGAGGAGGAGGAGGAGGAGGAGGAGGAGGGAGGAGGAGGAGGGAGGAGGAGGAGGAGGAGGAGGAGGAGGAGGAGGAGGACGAGGAGGAGGAGGAGGAGGACCATTACCCTTGCCGCCTCGTTTTCCCCTTTGTGGGGCCTCCTGGGAGGCCTTCGTCGCCACCGCTGGACTCGCCTCAGAACGCGCCCCGGGAGAGGTCCTGGGAGAATCGGTATCGATACCTTTTGGTTTCCCACGGGGAGGTGTCTGAGGGGAAGGGTCCTTTTCAAAACACCGAGGAGGCTTCTAGGTGAGTTCGGGGTGGGCTCCCTCACAGGAACATGCTTGGATGCCTGTCGCGGGTGCAGATGATCCTCGCAGAAGACCGATAGTTCAAGCATTTTGCCTCTTTCCTTGCCCCCCACCCAGTTGTCTTGCACGGGTACGGGTATGAGGACGCATCTGCGACGAGCGAGCAACCGAGGATCTTTCGTCATACAGTGATCTCGAGGCGGGGCGTCCCATCCCCCGGTACACCCGAGGCGCCTCAGTGGGCATCCGGCAACGGTGTGCCGATGGGCAGCGACGCTGCGGAGCCAAGTGACCCCGAGGCGGAAGCGCAATAGTGAGGGGGGGCATGGAACTTTGTGGAGATCGACGCAGGATAGGTAGGGCATGAACGTATGCTTGACGCCCATGCAAAGGTTGCTTCCGTCACAGTTCAGCTAGTAGCTTGTTCCTTTATATGTTTTGACACAGGTGTAGGGTCGTGAGCTTCGAATCCGTCCGTGTGCCTCTGGCCTCTGAAGGGGTGAAAGGAAACACGACGGCTAAGCCAATCAAGAGCATCCGAATGAGCGTCTGCAGCCGGCAGCAGCTGCTGCAGCGAGGGTGGCGCTTGCAAACTGCGACAGCGAGCGTCGCCGAGACAAGAGCAGCATCACCACACCACCATCGGGGAAGGCGATTGCACTGGTCACGTTGTGAGAATTCAGACGCACGTTTGTGCCACGGGCCCAGCGATCGGACAAGCCAGCGCATTTCGCTTTCAGTCGGGCCTGTCCCTCTACAGGAGGAATATTCAACAATAGTCCAACAATAGTCTGGTGATTATTTTTTCAGTCTTATATTTGACCTTTGGGGGGTATCCTTTGAGTATTTTTAGAAATTTTCGCCTAAATCCCCCTGTAGGGGGACAGGCCCGACCTGAAGCTAGCTCGGTGTGCGACAAGCGGAGTGGCACCGATACGGGGGAAAGCAAGCGAGCGGCCGCAGAGGGAAGGGAGGCGGCGGGTGGGCCTGCGGCGCCAGGGCGCGAGCGCCTTCTCCCGAGCACGGAGCGAAGGGCCATCCAGCGGGAGCGCTCATCTGTTCGGGGGGCCCGCTTGCGGTTGCGAGCACGAGCGCCTGTCTTGAGCATACATTCAAGCAGTGGCGAAGCGTCCCGGCTCGCTCATAGCTCCACCAAACAATGTTCTAAGAGCCTTTCTGAGGTTCTTCGAAAATTTCTGGCTGGGACTGTCTTGTTTTAACACATCGGGTTGATGTTCTAAGAACATTGTTTTTGTTTTTCGAACATGTCTGGGTTCTAAGAAGATTTCGTGGTATTGCTATAGGAATGCCGGGACGGTCGGTCCCTGTTCAAAACATAGGGGAGCGAACGACGTCGTGAACATGACACCGCGTTCCCTTGTTTCGGATGCGAGTAGGAGCGCCCGACTGGAGTCAACATAGGGGATCGAACAACGACATCATTAAAACACCGCCGAGTTTTTATGTTTATGGCATTGTTCGTTCCCCTGCTTCGGTTTGCGGGTAGGAGCGCCCGTCTTGAGCACCAGGCGAGGAGGATCGAGCAGGAGCGTCGTTGCTGTAGGGGGGGTCGGCCTGCGGACCTTCAAGGCTTGGGAACGCCTGTCATGGGTATAAGATGCGAGGAAGTATCGAGCGAGGGCGCTGGTTTTGTTGGGGGGCAGCTTTAATCCGGGCACGTCCCTCTGCAGGAGGAATATTCAACAATTGTCGAAAAAGAATGCCTGGGGACGATTTTTCGAATCTATCTTATTTGTATGCTTGTAGATGTTTTGACAATTTTTGATTTGTCGTCCAAAGTCCACCTGTCGGAGGGCATGCCCGACCTAATTGTACGGGGCCCAGGTTGCGGACCCAAGGCGGGCGCGCGACTCCAGGGTAAAAAGCGAGGAAGCATCGAGCGGGAACGCGGGTTTAGTTCGAAGGTTTTTTTTTCCGGCGGCCAGCAAGACTTTGGTTTGGAGTGAAAAGGGAGGACGCATGCATCATCGGGAGCGACTTTGCTCTAGGGGGGCGGCTTGAGGACGCAAAAGCGTGAACGCTATTTCTGTGCAACAAGCGAGAGAGCATAGAGTGGGAGCGCTGGTTTGGTTGGACGGCCAGCTTCCGGCGGCGAACAAGGGCACCTACCCTGGGTGAAAAGCGAGGAAGTATCGAGCGGGAGCGCTGTCGTTGTTGTTGGGGCGCTGGCTTGAGCGCTACCCCGAAACGCTTGAGATGGAGCGGGGGTCCAAGAATAAGAGCTTGATCAGTAATCAATATTCAACAGCAGTGAGAAACTTCACGGAACGGCGGACGCCCCCTGCAGGCATGCGCACAGGGATGGTGCAAGACCGTTCGGCCCCCTCACTCGGACGGTCGAGGATCTCAAAGGCTTCTTGCTGTTCTTCGCAGACTCCGGAAGTGAGGGCTGCTGTAGGTGCTTTGACACCTCTTCTGGGGCGTATCCTAACCAATCGCATCATGGTATCGTTCTCGTTGTATTATTCTCAGGAGGGAAAGAAACACACAGACACAGTGAATCGTCGACTCCCAGGAAACTATGGGAAAATATGGGAAGAAGGAGGGAAGACGAAAATCCAAAAAAATCTGGAAAAATAGCGGGAATCCTGGGATTTGTGTGTGTATTGATTTGTGTGTCCCTGGGCCCCTTCAGAGGTGCGCTCGCATCGATATCCGAAGCCCAGGGCCGGCGGCCGCGCCGGGAGAGTTGCGCTGCGCTGGGGGCGAGGGGGTTGCAGTGCTCGAAGGGCGAGGATCACCCTCGCGAGATGCATGCTGCATCTCTGTATGAGCTCTGCGCTTTCTATGTGTGTTTCTGCTGTACTTCAACGGTTCAAGGTTTATGACGTACTTGTTGTGATGTATGCAATTTTTACGTAGTTTGTTTGTACATGTTGTGCTCGTATGCGTTCCTTCTGTATTTTGTTTATGGTTCCTGTCGTTGAAGGCATGAGGTGCTTCTGTGCCTGCTCCTCTCACCACCCACCAAACCGCCCCAACCCAACCCGAAGGCTCAGATTTACCCTCGATTTCCAGTGGGGGGGGTGGGGGGGGGGAACAACACATGTGGAACCCTCACGCCCCCCCCCAATCCGAAATTCGGGCCTTCGGGCTGGGTTGGGGTGGTCTGCTGGGTCGTCATCCTCTCCTGTCGGCACGACCTGCCCAGCTCACGCTTCTCGCTGCCCCGGGCGAGACGGGCGGGCGGCCCCTCTCGGAGCGGGGGGGGGATTGGAGACCACGGGGGGGCCGAGGCCGGGTCCCCCCGGGCTCGAGCAGTGGCGAGGCGTCCACGGGCGGGCCTGCAGTCGGGTGCTGCTGGAAGTACCCCTCCTCCTCCTCCTCCTCCTCCTCCTCCTCCTCCTCCTCCTCCTCCTCCTCCTCCTCCTCCTCCTCCTCCTCCTCCTCTCCTCCTCCTCCTCCTCCTCCTCCTCCTCCTCCTCCTCCTCCTCCTCCTCCTCCTCCCCCTCGCTCGCCGCCGAGCCGGGGTGGCCCAGGCGGCCTCCAGGGCACCCTCCACGAGGCCCAGAGGACCCCAAGGGCTCCAAAGTGGAGCACAAAGCTGGGGGCACCTTGGGCCATGGGCACTTCTAGCAACACCCGATACAGGCCCACCATTGGATGGTTCGAGAGCCATTTTTTATCTGGCCTGCACGACGTGTTCTCAGCACCTGTCTGGCCGAGGCCGTCTTGCATGCCCCCCTTCGGGTCCCGGGCTTCTGCTCCAAGGGCCTCGTTTTTGTTTCTGGAAAGCTCGCGTCTCGCCTCCTTCCCCCCGCTCGAGCAGTGGCGAAGCGTCCTGGCTTGCTTGCGGTTGGGGCGTTGGTTCAGGAATGCGCCCAGGATGCTGCAGACCCTGGAGGATTCCTTATCTGATGAGGGCGGCGGTGATATCCATGGCCAAGCCTCGATTGGAGCTCCACTGGCTTCCAGACTCTGGGATTCCTTATCGAAGGCTTCCTTGTCCAATGCCTCCACCGTGTAGGCCCACCAAAGCATGTTCTGATAACCTTTTTTGCCATTTGTACAACATGTTTTGGAACACTTCTTGCCGATACTGTCTTGTTTTACCACATCGGGCTCAGGTTCTCAGAGTACCGTGATTGCTCGTAGGACGTGTTCAGCTTCTCAGATCTTGTCATGGCAGGCCCATAGGAGTACTGGGACGGTCGGTCCCCGCTCACCTCTGAGCCTCGCGTCTCGCGTCCCCCCCCCCACGCCCCGGCCCCGCAGACGGACGCGACGCTGACGTACATCCGCAACAAGCTGGCGGGCGCCCACCGGACGTTCTGGGACCTCCGGAGGCGCCTCGGCACGGCGGCGCGGAGCTCGGAGCGCCGCTCGCGCGGCGGCCCAGGAGGGAGATCTCTGTTTCGGAGGGCACCAACTATACACCAACACCGATCCTGGCCCAGGATCACCCTGGGCCCAGGATCGGTGTATATGCCTTCTTGCCCAAGGCAGGAGGGCGTATACACCGATCCTGGGCCCAGGGTGATCCTGGCCAGGATCGGTGTTGGTGCATAGTTGGTGCCTTCCTACTGTTCTCTGCGGCACCCAGACGTCCTCATGCTACGTGCTCGTCGCCCCAAAAGGGGCGACACGCGCGCCGAGAAGTCTCACGTACATGCGCGGTGGCGGGCGCGTTCCGGCCGCACCGCCCGGGAAGCGATAGACTGCGACATGGTTGTATTATATGATCGGGTCGGACACACGCCTCCGAGAAGGACACATCGTGCTAGTATGTTCTTGTGCTTCCCATTTTTGTCTTCTTGCGCGCAACGGTCATTGCCCGTGCCCCCCCCCCTCCGGGTAACGGTAACGTTCGTACGCAGGGGAGGGGGCTTGAACCCGGCCCCCCACATGCTGGCGCTCGCGCGCATATTTGTGCCTTCGCAGCGCACCCCCGCCCCGATGTGCCTCTCCCCGCCCAAGGGTTATCCTTACCCCGGCGTCTCCCCCAGAGTAATGACCGTTACCAGATGTTATGTTATGTTGTACTTCAAAGAATCGATGCGGCCAGGGACATCGTTAGGGGCAACGTAAGGGTTGGGAACAGGCTCAGGGGGGAGTGTTCAACGTTGCCCTACGTTTTGCGATTGTTTTCGGGGCCCAGGGTGGTTTCCATCAGCTGCGCCTCGACGAGAGCGTTCCGGGGGTGGGGGCCCAAATCGTCTCGAACGGCAGCCGGAGAGCCCAGCTACGACCCGGAAACTTTAGGGGGAGCGTTAGCGGGGGTAAGGTTCAGAGGGAGGTGCATTGACCCCCAATGACCCATTGATCGGCGATAGGGGCCCGTTATCCCCACCCCACCCCGCCCAGGAGCATGCGGATTCTCTATCGGTGGCCTGTCGACGATACATCGGCGATATATCCCCGAGTCCAGGTCGATGTTTCCCCTCTGAGCTGGTCCCCCTTAACGTTGGCCCTGAGGCGGGATGATGATGATGATGATGATGATGATGATGATGATGATGATGATGATGATGATGATGATGTGATGATGATGATGATGATGATGATGATGATGATGATGATGATGATGATGATGATGATGATGATGATGATGGTGATGGTGATGGTGATGGTGATGGTGATGATGATGATGATGATGATGATGATGAGGATGAGGATGAGGATGAGATGATGAGGATGAGGATGAGGATGAGGATGAGGATGAGGATGAGGATGATGATGATGATGATGATGATGATGATGATGATGATGATGATGATGATGATGATGATGATGATGATGATGATGATGATGATGATGATGATCGGGGGTGATGAGAAGATGGAGGAGGAGGAGGAGGAGGAGAAGAAGAAGAGGTTGCAGGTTGCAGGTTGGTCTTTGCCAGCCCGCGCCGCGATTAGAGCGGTACACGCTACTTGGCGTCGGCACGGGCGGGCCACCGGAGCCATCGAGCCAGGGGCTCGAGGGGCTGTGGAGCCCGTTTTCGAGCACCGCTTGTCCCTCTCTCTCTGCTCTGGGGGGGCCCTCCCAGAAGCTCCTCTCTCCGGGCCCGCCGCGGGCCCTGTGGGCCCTCGGGTCCTTCTCGTGGGGCCACCTCCGGCCCTCTGGTGGCCTCTTTGGGGAGACGCTTGGGCCCACGGGGCTCCCTCCCCACCTGCTCCCTCCCCCGCTTCGGCTCTCCCTTCCGCCTGCCCCGCTGCTCCTGCAGTCGGGCGCCCGCGCCTGGCCATTCCTGCGGCAGGGGCGTTCCTGGCCCCCCGGTTGCACGACTCCGACCTGCTCACGCCGGGCAGCTCTGAGCCGCAGCGTCCGCGGAACGCGCGTCGGGGGTCGCCGGCGCGCGCGCCGTGGAGGCTGTTATGATTGCGAAATGCGAAATGCGTGGAGGGGAGAAACACACACACAGAGACACAGCGAATCGTCGACTCCCAGGAACACATGGGAAACTATGGGAAGTGGGGGGGGGGGAAGACAAGAACCCAGAAGAAATGAGAAAATATTGGGAGTCCCGTAACTCGTTTGTATTTATGTGTGTATCCCAGGGCCCCTTCAGTGATGCGCGCACCTGCCGGGTCAGTCAGCCCTCCCCTTCCCCGCCTTCCGCCCCGCCGCTTGGGTGCTCCCTCTCGGTAGCGGGCGCCCTCGCCGCGCTGCCCCACTTCAGTAGTTGGTGCTTTGCAGACAGCAGCCCCCGGCAGCATCGCGGCTTGCTCTGCAGCGCTCGGCAGTCTTGGAGCCAGCTCTCCGCAGCCCAGCATGGCAGTACGGCAGCATTTTGCTGCAGGCGAGCTGGTCGCTGGCGCAGCCCCTGCGGGCGGTTGGGCCTCCCCGCATCCCGCTGGCGCCGCACTGGCAGCAAGAGCCTGTCACCCACGGCCTTCCGACGAACATCGAGATGGCACCCGCTCTTGCGGGCTCGGTCGCCGCTCCTCCGGTGCTGGTTCGATTTGGCATACGCTTTCGGCGCCCGCTGCCTCGGCCTCGGCCCCCTGGTGTGGCCGTGATGCCGCTCCGCGTTCACTGCCAGGCTGCCTCAGCGCAGGCTGGGCGCACCGCCCACTCCTGACGAAGGTCTCCGTGCAGTGAGTGCCCTCCCTCTCTCTCCCGCCTTCCGCGGCCGCCTTCCGGCCCCTTCTCCTCTCCTTGCAGCCAGACTATAAGCATGTGCCCGGGCCCGGCCTTCTAGAGCGCGCGTGCCGATCGCTTCTGCTGCGCTGCGACGTGGAAGGGCCCTTGGGACTGACATGGGCCCACCTCGGGCCACACGGCCACGGATGCAAGGACAACGCTGGTTTGAATGTGTTGATGCGCTTGTTTTTTGTCGCCTTGAGTTGTCCTAAGCCCTTTTGCGCCGAGTCTTGGGGCATGCTGGGGGATTTCTGGGCGCGTGTTGGCGTAGCGGGCTCGGTTCATTGCCGTTTTTGGCCAGCCATGGGGCAGAGTCGGAGTCACTTGGGGGCCAGCTTGGGTCGTCGGTGGCCAGCGGGGGGGGGCGTTGAGGGGGCCACAGGCCGACTTAGCCTCTTTGGAGTCGGCTTGGGCGTTCTCCTGGAGCCCACAGGGGGGTGGCCCAAGGGAATGTCAATTGCGCGGCCCCCAGTTGGAGTGCAATGGAATGAAGGAGCCCCGCAAGTCGGGCGATGTGCACACGACGCGCTAAAACCGTTTCGTGGATGGGCCTACATACTCGCGTGGCGGGCACGAGGGGCTTGACACACGCCCACCGCGTTGCAAGCGACGCGGCGATCTTCTGCGACAGCAATTGCGGGCCATCGCCGAGTTTGGTGACGCAAATGAATCTCTCTTTATATATATATATATATATATACACATACACACCTATGTTCCACACGCAACTTACATCAAATACTCCAGATTCCCAGGGAGGGGATGCACACACCGTTGTTCTTCAACTCGGACACGTCAATGTGTAATCTGCAGATTGGAGCAAGCTACGAGTCGACAGGTTACAAAACACCCTGCTGTGATCTTGACAGCCAAGGGTTACGTCACACTGATTAGAACCGCGAGGGAGTTCGAACAGAGAGCCCGGAGACCCGGCACGCCCATTCATCATGAGCCATTGACGGCGCTGGCAAAATAGTTCGGCCAAACCAGACGCAGCGACCAAAGTCTCCAAAATGACATGGGCGCGCGAATTGTTGGACACGTCGACGCATCAATTCCAGATAACAATATTTGAACGGGCAGTGACACGGACATGGCCGTAAGTTCGAAAACGGCCGCAGCACGGCCGCAGTAACGCCAACGAGAATCAAGCATGCTTTCTGGAGAAGATGACGGCGTCCTCCAAGGAAGCTGTGACAACGCGCAATTCAATTGCGCATGCGCTACAGAAGCTGAAGATAATCAGACATCCAGAAATACAAGTATGTCGAGTACGATGATATTTCCTGGGGACCTCCTTGTGTCCACAGTCAAAGAGATTATGAATAGCAAACCAACTGAAATTTACATAATCTTTGTATGGGCAACTGCCAATTTCAGGTCCTGGTCATATCCGTAAGGGCTGCGCCCCTTGCCGCCAGCCCCTTCTTTATCAGAAAGGGATACATCAGAGTCGCGTCGGTGCGTCTCGGCGCTGCGGTGGCGCATTTGGGAACATCATGCGGGGGCGGATAGGAATCATCGTCGCATATTGAGACGTTGGCGTTATCCTAGTGGCCTTCGCCCCCATCCCGCCACCGTGCCTGGGTTGTGTGTCTGAGGCCTCTTGTATATGTCTTGGGGTGTCGTGGGGAGCCTCTCGGGGGCCTCTTGGAGGCTGTTTGGGCGCCTGTTGGGGGCCTCGTGGGGTATCCTTTGGGTCCCTTAGAGGCCTCTTGGGCGCCTCTTGGGGCCTCTTGGGGCCTCTTGGCGGCCTCTTGGGGCCTCCAGCGGGCGATTCTCAGGACAAGTATCGAATGTTCGGTTCGTGGTCCCCTGCTTGGAGCCCTCTTGAGGCCGTCTTGGAGCCCACTAGGGTCGTCTCGAGCGCTTCTTGGGCCACCTTGGAGCCCTCTTGGGCCGTCTTGGAGGCGTCTTAGGCTGTCTTGGGGCGGTCTTGGGAGCTTCTTGAGCCGTCTTGGAGCGTCGGAGAGCCGAAAATATGAGACGGCCGAAATCCTTCAAACACTTTCTCGTCAAAATCTACGGTTTGGGCCTCTTGGGGCTCTTTCGGGAGGTCTCTTGGGCCGCTGTTGCGGCTCTTTGGGCTCTCTTGGGCCGTCTTGAAACCATCTTCGGGCGCCTTGGAGCACTCTAGGCCTCGGCTATGCGAATATGGTGTAATTTGCGAAGGTTCATGGCTTCGGGGACGCGAACATTGTATAATTTTCAGGGTGGTGTCGTCTCGGGGACGCGAGTATTTACGGGTGTGTGTTTCCTCGGGGACGCAAGCATATTATACTTCACAAGAGTTTGTGGCCACGGGGACGTGAGCGAATCTCCTGTGTTTTTACTTGTCCCACGCCCCCCCCCCTTAATACAGAGAACGCGATCCGGGCGTGGTAACCGGGCGGTTTGAGGCTCCCCCTTCTCGCGCGGACTTCAACAATTCACAGTGGGACGCAGAAAGTAGGACTGTAACATTGGAGACTTGAAAGTGCAACTGGCGCAGGGAGCAGCATCTTCGTCCTACAGCCTGGTGGCCCCACAAGGGGGCCGGCGGATTTGATTTTGTTTTCTGTTGTGATCGGGTTCGAAGTAGCCAGTTCGGGCAGATCAGCAAGCGATCGTTGGGACGGGGTAGATATGATGTCATCATGGTTTGGATGCTTAACGGTACATTCATTAATGTTGCGATGAAGTTCAACAGTCGTTGAAAGTTCAAAGGCACCAATAGCCATCCGATTGTCGCGCAGTTGATTTTGGAAACCGTCGTAGATGTCTCACGGCTTGAACGTCCAGGAGGAGGAGCATGTCAACTTCTTCGCGGAGCAGTATTTCTGCTGCACAGAGAAGCATTATGAAATATCAACGACATGTTCATTTTCACGTTTCTCATGTTTCTTCTAATGTTTCTTCGTGTGTTGTTATTGTTATTGTGATTCCCCCTCCGCCTCCATCTCGTGCTACTGTTCATGCCGCTCCTCCGCCATACCCCCTCCTCCCCGCTCCCCCCCGCACAGCCCCCTCCATTGTCCTGGGCCCCTCTTATAGGGATTGCGAGCACGCTCCCCTGGCGCAAGCCTGGACGTCCTTGATCTTCCGGGGGAGAACTGGACAGCGGCGCCTCCACCTTGATCGTTCCCCCCCCCTCTTTTTCCGTTCCAGTCTGGCAAGATATGGGCTCGCGCACACCCAGGGTAGCACAGGGTGCCTTCAGCGGTCTCCCCGAGGAGTCCGTGGCAGTCTCAGCAGCGGCGGCGCCCCCAGGGTGTTGATACCGCCCCGGACTGCTGGGGAAGCCCGTGGAGGGTAGCTGGGACTACCTGGGGGAGCGGTCCGTGCGGCAAGCCGAAGTCACACCGGTCCAGTCCTCCTCCGCCTCGCCCTGCTGCACTGCTCATCTCCACCTGCCTCCCTCGGCCCGAGCAGGAGCTCACGGGGACTTCCCCACGGCCGGCGGGGCCCACCGGTTCACGGGTGGCGGGTGCCTCTAGCCCTGCTATGTTGGGTGGATCAATGTTTTCGTCTCCTGTTGTGACTTGGCCCGCCAAGGTGCTGTGGGGGCGGCAGCTCCAGGGGGAACTCCAGGCTGGCGGGCAGAAGAAACTAGAGGAAGGAGGAGGAGGAGGAGGAGGAGGAGACGGGAGGAGGAGGAAAGAGCATGATGATGAGCAGGAGGAGGAAGAGGAGGACAATGACAAGAGGACGAGGAGGATGAGGGGAGGAGGGAGGGGGAAGGGGAGGAGGAGGAGGAGGAGGAGGGGGCAGGCGGAGGAGGACGAGGAGGAGGAGGAGGAGAAGGACCAGTGAAAACCCAAGAGTCATCAAAGATGTTGGAATAAACCCTCCCTCCAAGGTCCCTCTTCATAGGCCCCTACAACGGTTCATTTCCACAGGGAACTGCCACGTTGGAAGACAACCGCTTGAAGACCCTGAAACATACCAAGACATTGTTGTCGGTATTCCAACGCAGCGGATTAACCTGATTTGTTGTATCTTGACGATCTTGAATCGTGCCAGAACACCATTCCTGGGACTACAACACCGCGAATCAACGTAACAGCTGCGCCCTCATAATTTTGAATCCCGCCAAAAATTCACCATCTCTTTTTTGCTCATCATGGAAGTTCGTGGAACTCTTGCACAATTATCAAACGAACGTGCGCGGCGCTAAGGCGAGAGCCACGTTTTGAAAAGGAACCACCCGCAACATGTTAAACTTTTGCAAATGCTTACAACGAGTGTGCGCGGCGCTAAGGCGAGAGCCACATTTTGAAAACGACCCGCCCTCTAATTGTATCACTGCTGTCATTGCTTAAGTTCCAGGGCCAGAAGTGGTGATAATGTCTACGGCGAAACGCCCAGACCGCCCTAAAAATTGGCCTTGGGGTGCGACAGGGACAAGTTATGTATAAGGAAAGGAGGGGGGGAGGGAGGGAGGGAGGGAGGGAGGGAGGGAGGGAGGAGGAGGAGGAGGAGGAGGAGGTGCTGAGAGGAGGAGGAGGAGGAAAACGACGGGAAGGACGCGGAGGAGGAGGAGGAAGAGCAGGAGGAGGAGGAGGAGGAGGAGCAGAGGCCGTTGCCATTTTGGCTCAAGGTTCGGGACAGGCCCGAGGTTGAGCGAGGCAGCTCTCTCCGAGCTATCCAGCCGTCAAGGGCTGGCGGACACACGCCCATTCTCCCCTCTCGCAGATGCCCCCGCATGGCGAGCCGCGTGGATCCCGCTCCCCACGCTCCCAAGGCCGCGGCAAAGGCAGCCCTGACGGTCTCACGAGAATCTCAGCCATGGCTGCCTCTGAGGTCGAAGAGCTCGAGCGACAGCTTCAGGCCGTCCCCACCTTCCCGTCGCAGCAGTCCATCGAAGGCGACCGCCCTACTCCTGTGTCTCTCCCTGATGGCGATCTTCGTCCCTACGTCGACGCCCAGAAGCATGAGATCCTCTCGGCCATGCAGACCCTCCAGGCCACCATGCTCAAGCTCAACCGCTCCGTCACGGCGCACGTCGGTGGGCTCAGCCAACAGGTCGAGGCCAGGCTCGCCAAGATGGAGGCTAGCCAGAACACGTTCAATTCTAGAATGGACATCATGGCGAGGGAAATTGCCGAACTCAAAAAGTCCCTGTGTGCCGTTCAGAATGATGAGCCGCCAGCTGCCCCTCCCAGCGGTGGTGGATTTGAGCGGCGTACCAACCCGTGCATCCCCATCGTCCGTGCTGGTGAGATGGTCTCTCGCGAGGCCGTCTCCCAGGCCGTTGCTCAATGGCTCGCCGACTCCAACTTCGAGGAGGGCGGCTGGCGCATCGAGGGCGACCCTGCCGCGAAGCGCTTCACCATCCGCATCCGTGGCGCCCCCGGCCGGGCATCGCGCATGGTGTCCCAGGCGCTTTCCAACATGCGCCTCGACGACGGCACCTGCCGCCGCACGCAGGCAAGAGGCCCGACTGGTCAGCCAGTCGACTTGTACATCTCTGAGGACAAGAACTTGTTCCAAGTCCGCCGCGAGCTCGCGACCAAGCAGGCCCGCAAGGCCCTCTCCTCCTTCGACCCCAACCTCAAGCTCCATGCTGACAAGTCCACGGGCATCGTCAGCTGCGAGTGGAAGCCCCTCCTCCGCATCGCCCCCAAGCCGAACGAGATGCCGACTATCGAATGGGAGGAGGACAACCTCCGCGCCAAGGGCCTCGATCGGGCTACTCTCGAACCTAGGATTGTCGAGGCTATTTCGGCCAGCTCGAGCACCGCTTCCGCCGCTCCCGCACAGTGGCGTCTTGAACGAGTGGTTCACGAAGACGGGAGGCCCATCCTCCCCAGAGCTCGGGCTGGCCACTTGGAATGCGAGAGCTCTATTTCATCACTGCCCAAGAGTGCGGACTGCGAAACATATATTTTGTCGTGGGAATGTTCCGCGGGTTCAGGATCATTGGTCTCCAGGGGGCTCATGGGAGCAGGTTCGACCTCGACGATTTTTTGCATATGTCCTCTACGAAATATTCGGCGGTCTCCTCTTTCCTCCCCGTCTCGAACAAGGGCGGCGTCGTCACTCTGTTCCCTCCCCCGTCTTCCTTCCCAGGCTACGGGCCCTCGGTCTTTGCCAAGGAACTGGTTCGCGGTCGTGCACTCCATACTAAATTCTTCCTAGGCCCTGGGGTGCAGTCTGGGTCCGACTCTTATCACTGCATCTCGCACTTCAACATGCATAACCACGACATCAACATACATGACACGCATAGGACCATACGTGCTATCGAGTCGGAGCTTGGTTTCGCCTTGTCGGGCCCAGAGCACTAATTACCTTGTCGTCGTTGTCGGCGATTTTAACCTCTCTCGGGCACCTCCGCGGCCCGAAGTGCCTTCGGAAGGCGGTGCTGCTGAGGATCCTGCTGTGCCAGCGTGGCGGCGACAGCTTCGGCCCCCGCGGCAGCGTCTCTCTGCACGATTCGTCGAATTGGATCCAGAAGAGCACACCCACTACAACGGCTCTCGCCGACACACATCCGCTATCGACCGGATCTTTATTTCGTGGCCAGGCTGGATCGTCTCGGCCACGCACCTGGCTGCAGAAGTTAGGGACCTTCCAGAGACCCTTGAACGGCGCAAAATCAGTGATCACGCCCCCGTCACGGCCATCTTGCGCGCTCGCCCTCCGCCTGACCCCGATGACCAGCCCATCCCGAGGCACGTCTTCGAGCACCCTGACTTCCAGAAATACGTTGACGAGTCCTGGCCCGCCCTGGACCTCTCAGAGCTCAGCCCCCCTCTGGTCCTCGAGCTTTACAAGAAGGTGCTTCGCGAAGGCGCCCGCTACGCCAGGAACGCCCTGCTCTCCAAGGACCCCCACAACATAGCCTCCAAGTTGATCCTCATGAGGTCCATTTCTCGGGCAGTGGCGTCAAGATCATAAATTAGCTTCGCGTCTTCTTCGTTGCCCATTAGCTCGTGATCTTTTCGAGGTTCGTGAAGATGATGGGGTGGCTCTGTCTGATCCTGCACGTTTTTCCCTCTTGCTGGGCGAGCTCCAGCACGCAGACGCGGAGAGCCAGCAGAGCTCAGTCCGCGCCGAGATGCGCGCCGCAGCCTCCCTCCCCTCGCCAGGCCAGGTCAAGGCCAAGCTGAGGAAGAGGCTCCAGCGTCTCTCACGGCGAGCAAAATTGTGGGCGCCAGTGGACCGCCGCACGACGCTCGCAGGGATCCGAGGTGAAAATGATGTGGTTGTGTCCTCTCAGTCTGACATGCAGAATGTGATATCCTCGCACTGGCGCGACGTTTTCCTGCTTAAAGATATTGACATGCACGCCGCGTCGGTGTACCTCCAGAGGTTCTGCCCCAACTTGGACATCTCTGATGTTGCCCCGCCCTCGATTAAGGACTTCCAGACCGACCTCTCCCGCCTGCCCCACTCGGCTCCAGGTCCCGACGGCCTCCCGTACAAGGCGTTCCAGAGGTCCCAGCTCTCGGCTCAAATCCTGAATGACATGATGTGGTGGATTCTGAATGGCAGCCCCGCCCCCATTGGGTGCAACGATTTTCTAGGCGCGTTCATCCCGAAGGCCTCCGAGGACAGTGGCACCCCCCAGGGCTGCATCAGAGCTCCGAACAATCTCCGCCCTCTTGGGCTCAAGACTTGCGACAGCAAAAGCGGCTGCATCAGAGCTCCGAACAATCTCCGCCCTCTTGGGCTCAAGACTTGCGACAGCAAAATTGCGGCGGCCGTCGCGACTAGAAAGCTCTCGAGGACCCCCCCCCCCCCCCCCCCCCCAAGCCACCAACAAGATCCAGCGAGGCTTCATCCCCACCCGCAACTTCGGCGATAACATTGTCGAGATGGATGCGATGGCCGGGATCTATTCGATGCAGGATGCGGCCCCCACTCTGATGCCATCTCTGCTCAGCTTTGACTTCCAGCAGGCCTTCCCGAGCGTGGCCCACGATTGGCTATGCTCTGTTCTTGCGCGATGTGGTCTCCCTGAGGCTCTCTGCTGGTTCTTCTCGCAGCTCCTCTTCGGCGACCGCTGTGTCGCAGCATGTGGCCCCGGCCCTCCCCCCCTCAGGTACCTTGTCCAGAGCGGCATCATCCAGGGCTGCCCCGCTTCTGGCTTCCTCTTCGCGGTTGGCGCGGACCCGTTCATGCAGGACTTCGGCCGCAGCGCCAACCTTCGGCTCCTCGGGGTCGTGCGCGCCTGCGCGGACGACGTGGGCGCCGCTATCAAGACCCTCAGCGTGCTTCGTATCTCCCACAGAATCTTCAAGGCTGCTGAGAGAATTTCGGCATTGACTCTCAGGGCTGCTAAATGCAAAATCGTCCCTCTTGGTGAACCTTTTGATGGGGATGCTGTCTTGCGTTATCGTACTCGGCTGTATTCTGTTATTCCAGATTGGAGACAAGTCGAGGTCGTTTCATCCCTCGTTTATCTTGGTACGCATATCGGGCCGACGGCTCGCCTTGATAGCTGGGCAGCACCGCTGGCTAAGTACAGGTTGCGCACGGCACAAATTGCCGCTGCGGGTGGCCCCACCCGAGTGACCGCCAGCAACTACAACATCAGATGCGTGACGACCCTGAGTTACGTCGCGCAGTTCACGCCCCTCCCC